ATCGTCTGATCAGTCATTGCGAGTATGTGCCAGTAGGCTCGGTGCACCCCGCACAATGACCTGCTCTGATGTCACAGCGACCCGCGAGTGGCAGCTCTGGGTGGAGGCGGTTCGGTCGGTCTCAGCGCCTGGGTCCACTCTGGGCACAGTACCTGGGCACTGTGGCTCATCCAGGCACCACACACAGTGGATCACTCCACCCACCCCTGTGCCCCATGGTAAAGGTTAGATCCGTCGTCATGTGGGCACCTTCTGCCAGAGGTTGCAGTTTTCTTCTCAAAAACTCATCAGAGGGCCTGGTGTGGTAGCCTAGTGGCTACAGGCCTCATTTTGCATGCACTGGGATCCCATATGGGCGCTGGTTCTAATCCTGGCAGCTTCACTTCCCATCCAGCTCCCTGCTTGTGGCCTGGGAAGGCAGTCTGGGACAACTCTGCACCCCTGGGGGAGACCTGGAAGAGGCTCCTGGCTCTGGATCAGCTCAGCTCTGGCCCGTGTGGCCACTTGGGAGGTGAACCTGCAAATGGAAGATCTTTCTCTCTGTAAATATGACTTTCCAATTTTGAAAAAAATCTTTAAAAAGAAAGAAAGAACTCATCAGACCCAGCAACAGGACACCCTAAGACTTACACTCCTCTTGTCTGGGATGGCCGGCTTGCTGCCCACGCCGCAGCTGCCCGGCTCTATCCCGCCGTGTGACCGTGACGGAGTGGCTGCTGTGCCCACACACCTGAGATAAACCGCGCGCCTCCCTCGTGACTGTGGCCCTGCCAGCTCCGGGTATCACAAGAGGACAAGACAAAGGGTCAGGGCTTGATGCCAGGGATGAGAGTCCAGTGAGGCCTGCAGGCACAGAAATACAAGCACCTGGGCCTTCCGGAAGCTCAAGTGCCACTCAGGTACGTGAACTTTCCGGTCTGTGAGAACGCCAGGCTAACTATGACAAAATGCTAGGGTCAAATTGAGCTAGCTGGCTAGTAGTAGGGCTGGTGCTGTGGCTGAACAGACTAATCCTCTGTCCTGCCGTGCCAGTATCCCATGCAAACACTGGTTCTAGTCTCGGCCGCCCCACTTCCCATCCAGCGTGGACCCGGTGCAGGTGCACACACTCCTGGGAGGCCGGCACCTGCCGCTGCCTGTGCCCGCGCCTCCGCACGCGGCCGCCAGGGGGCGCGCGTTCGCGCTGCCGCTGCGAGAGCGCCCTCTGCTGCTGGCACGCCGAAGTGCCACCACGAGGCCTCGCTGCGCCTGCTCCTTCCTTCCGGGTCGGCTGCCTTCCAGGTCCACTGCCCTCTGCCCGGCTGCCTTCCAGGTCCACTGCCCTCTGCCCGGCTGCTTGCAGGGGCTGCCCCCAGGCCACGTCCTGCGGGGGCTCAGGGAGCAGGAGCGGACATCGGAGGACACGCCTGGCCAGTTTCCTCAGGTGCAGCAGCCCAGGTGCACACTGTCTTGCCACTTCCCCGGACATTTGGCAGTTTTCTAAGAAAAGGATGTCTTTGATGTCACTTTTTTTTTTTTTTTCAATCAGGGCTTCGGTGACTATTTTGTAAAATGACCTCTAGCTGATGCTGCGGGAACAGGCCAGCCGTGACGCCACGTGGAGCTGGGCTCTGTCGCAGGTGAGGTGACCCCCACTACACACACAGTGGTGACACTAATCTGCATGAGAAAGCCACATCCTGCATGAATGGTTCAGTCCAGGGCCTGGCACAGCGGCTAAAGTCCTCGCCTTGCACGTGGTGGGATCCCATATGGTCGCCAGTTCTAATCCCAGCAGCCCTGCTTCCCATCGAGTTCACTGCTGTGGCCTGGCAACCAGCAGAAGGTTTTCCCCTCTGTCTCTCTTCTTCTCTGTAGATATCTGATTTTCCAATAAAAAAATAAATATAAAAAGAAAAGAAAGGTTGAACCCTCAACACTATTCAAGCATGACTAGGGAAAGTGAGTTTCATCTAGCTCAGCCCTAAAAACCTCAAAGTTAGTAATTTTTTTTTTAATCCTTAAGATAATACCATGTTAGGGCCCAGCGAGGTGGCCTAGTGGCTAAAGTCCTCGCCTTGAATGCGCCAGGATCCCATATGGGCGCCAGTTCTAATCCCAGCAGCTCCACTTCCCATCCAGCTCCCTGCCTGTGGCCTAGGAAAGCAATTGAGGATGGCCTGAAGTCTTGGGACCCTGCACCCACATATGGGTAACCCGGAAGAGGCTCCTGACTTTGGATTGGCTCAGCTCCGGCCATTGCGCTCACTTGGGGAGTGAATCATTGGATGGAAGATCTTCCTCTCTGTCTCACCCCCTCTCTGTATATCTGCCTTTCCAATAAAAATAAATAAATCTTTAAAAAAAAACATAGTGCCATGTTAACCCAGCTCCCCTCTGTGAATTTTTCCTCTATAAACTTCAGGGTGGAAAGATACTTAGTGTCAAGAGCCCATTTACTACTGTCCGGCAATAAAGCACTTTCTTAAAAAAAAAATTGTTTATTTTTATTGGAAAGGTAGATTTACAGAGAGAAGGAGAGAAAAAAATCCTGTCTGCCGGTTCACCTCCCAAGTGGCCGCAATGGCCGGAGCTGAAACCAGGAGCCTCTTCAGGGTCTCCCACACAAGTGCCGTATCCCAAGGCTCTGGGCCACAAGCAGGGAGCTGGAAAAGAAGTGGAGCAGCTGGGACTTGAACTCACACCCATATGGGATACCAACACTAGATGCCATGGCTTAACTCGTAGTGCCATAGAGACTACCATAGTTAACTTTTGGCCAGACTTGAAACTGGTTTCTACGGAGCCCACAGCAATTTACCATTCCCATGGATAGCGCTAAAGGGTTTCAATCCCCCGCACAGCCTTGTTAACACCAGCTAGCTCCTTCGTCGCCGCCATCATCACCTCTGTGGCCGTCACCATCACGGTGGCTTGCATTTTCCTAAGGACCGTGATGTTGGGCGTCTGTTTCCAGCTTGTTGCCATTTCTGTGTCTTCTGCCGGGACGCGTCTGCTGCAGTCCACTGCCCTGGTTGAAATGATCTCAAGTCTTTGTGATCTGACCTTGTTTATACGGGCTATCGGCCACTGGCCAGATGCAAGATCTGTACCCTTCTTTCAAGCCCTGAATAATGTTGATTGATGCCCAAGACTTTAATTTCCACCAAGCCCAACTAATCTATCTTTTTTGTTCATGCTTGTGGGGAAGGTAGCTTTGCAAACAGGTTTTTCCACTTCGTTCTTTCATCCACACCCAAGCCGGTGTTTCTTAAGCACCGACTCAGAGAGTCTTCTCAAACACCAAACCCCCACTCTGCTTCTAAGTTTGTACAACGACGTAAAAGTGGGTTTAACCGCTCACCACTGAAAACCGCTCAAATCTTCTTTCAACTCTCAGTGGGCCACCTGCTGTTTCCGCCGCGAGGCGCAATACCCTCTACGGCCGCCGGGTGGCGCCAGACGCCACAAGTCTGTACCACTTTTCCCACACTGAAAAGCAAAACCAACTTTAAACTTAATTTTGGAAAAAACACACACCATATACTCAACCATGTAAATCAGTTTGCTTTCTTAATTCGTTTTTTTTTTAATATTTATTTCTGTTACAAAGGCAGATTTACAGACAGAAATTTCCACTTCAACATTGTCTGCTGGTTGACTCCCCAAAGCAGTCACAATTGCTGGAGTTGAATCCAAAGCCAGGAGCTTCTTCCACGTCTCCTCTGTGGACTCAGGGTCCCAAAGTTTTGCGTCATCCTCTGCTACTTTCCCAGGCCACAGGAAAGAGAGCTGGGCGAAAAGTGGAGGAGCCAGGATACAAACCAGTGCCCCCGTGGGATCTAAGGGGCGGACTAGCCAGGTCAGCCAGTCCTTTTCTTGTTCTTTCTGAAAGGCAGAGGCCAATGGTTTGGTTTTGTTTTGCTTTGTTGTTGTTTTTGCTGGTTCATTCCTCAAGGGTTTGGCCCACAGCCAGGGCTGGTCCAGGCCGGGAGCCTGTGGCTCTGCTGGGTTTGCATGGGGGCGGCTCATTCTGTCGTGAGAAAACGGAGTCACAGAAAGGCGAACTCAATGCCCCAAAGTCACACAACTATTAGTTTAAGGTGTTTTTTAAAAGAGTTATTTATTTTTATTTTTTAAAAAAAAAGATTTATCTATTTTTATTACAAAGTTAGATACACAGAGAGGGGAAGAGACGGAGGAAGATCTTCCATCTGATGATTCACTCCCCAAGCGGCCACAATAGCCAGAGCTGAGCCAATCCGAAGCCAGGAGCCAGGAGCTTCCCATGCGGGTCTCCAGGTCTCCCATGCGGGTGCAGGGTCCCCAGACCTTGGGCCGTCCTTGATTGCTTTCCCAAGCCACAAGCAGGGAGCTGGATGGGAAGTGGAAAATGGCATCCATACGGGATTGCGGTGTGTGCAAGATGAGGTCTTTAGCCATTAGGCTACCGTGTTAGGTCCCTTGGTTTGTTTTTAATCAAGAGAAGAAAATTTTCCCGAAGCCTCAAGGCAATGTTCTGCCTTGGGACTCCTTGGCCCATAACCTCTCCTTGAGCAATCGAGAGAATTAGCAATGGCTCACTGATGGGATGCTGGTCCTAGGGCTGAGGGCTGCTGGCGCAGCAACACGCTGCGTGCCAGAGGGTCTCCCACACAGAGGCAAGTGGCACACCGGGTCCCAAGGCCTGGGCGCTTTCTAGACACCTGCTGGGGTGAGCGTGGCACATGCAAGCAGAGCCATCCCAGGACGAGGCTCGCCCACAGTGAATCCCCCACCAGCTGCCCCGACAGTTCCGAGGGGTGGGACGGCAGGGGTGTGCCCCAGGCCAGGGCTAAGGGGACACAGCTGGGGGAAGACAGCAGCCCTGAGGGGTGACCCCAAGAAGGGGAAGTGTGGGAGCTGGTTAGTGCAGGAAGACGCCCCCCATTCCCATGACCTTGACAATGAGGTGGGCAGGTGCATTCCCGCTCTAACCCCCGCGCGAGCCCAGCTCTCCGTCGCACGCGACAACACAGGGCTTGTTCTTTGGCATTTTATTTCAAAATTGCAGCAGAGGAAAAAAAAAATCAACGGCAGCACCGAGGGTCCGGCGAGAGAACACGGAGAGACGCGCGGAGTGGGGCCAGTGCGCAGCGTTGACCACCTCCCCCTCAGGAACGGAGCAGCTGGGGGACGTGATCCCCGAGAGGGCTGGGGGCGCAGACCCCTGCGCCGGCCCCTATGGCTTTGGGAGTGTAGCGACAACATGGGGGTGCGCGGACCCAGGAGTCCGGGCGCCCCCAGTCTGATTCATATTGCACTTGAGGTGAGTCATCGGCGAGGAGGCGAGGCGAGGTGGGACTGGAGGCCACCGCTCGGCGGTCACACCGGGAGCATCCACTCGTGCGCGCTTGTTCCGTACTGTGGGGCACGGGCGGGGCGGCGTGAGGGGAGCCGCACTACAACTCCCAGCAGGCTCTGCGGCGCCCCGCGTCTCATGGGAAATGCAGTCTACTTGCGGGGGAGGGGAGACAGGGTTCACAGGCCAAAGCGGGAGGCAAGCAGAGGCTCACGGGAGCGGCATCCCTCCCCCCAGAGGCTCACGGGAACTATTTCTCTAGGATTATGGGGGCAGCAAAGGGCCATGGGAAGTGATTGCTCCACACAGGATCATGTGATGGGGGCCAAGGCATAGAGGTTCATGGGGAAGGCATCCATCCCCCCCAGAGGCTCATGGGAAAGGCATCCTCCCCCGCAGAGGCTCATGGGAAAGGGCTCTATCCCAACAGGACTTTCGTGGCCAGAGGCTGACGGGAAGGGATGTCTCATGCCACAGCGTTAGCCCAGAAGTCCAGCCGGGGCCCAGGGTTCGAGCCAGGCGTCTTCACGGACCCTCAGGATCACAGCTCACCTGGATCGCCTTCAAGTCCTTCTGGAAGCGGAGGACGAGCTCCGGCCCATTCTCCATGGTGGGGATGTGGAGGTGCTGGGGGGAAGGTGCCATGAGGCCCAGGCTCGGCCGCCTCCCCCACCCCTGCAGCAGCCCCGGTGCCCACACCCTCACCTGGCCTTCGTACAGGATCTGGTGCACCGGGCACACCTGGCAGGCGGTGCCGGAGCCGAAGACCTCCCGCACGCGGCTCTCCTGCAGCGCGCGCCGCAGCTCCCGCATGGTCACCTGGCGCTCCACAACCCGGAACTCCCCCTGGGCGGCAAGAACAGCCGCCAGTCCTCGGGGCCCGCCCAGCCTTCCCGAGGGTGGGGAGAGGCGCCCCAAGATCCAGAGACTGGAGACAGACACCCCGAGGAGTCCACTCCCTGCGAGCATCCCACAGGCAATCCAGTTGCCCCACGCCCACACAGGTACCCCATAACCTCATGCCCACACAGGCACCCTACAGGCACCCCATCGCCTCATGCCTGTACAGGCACCCTGCGTGCACCCCATCACCCCATGTCCACACAGGTACCTCATCACCCAGTGAGCACCCCATTGCCCCAAATCCACACAGACACCCTGTCTCCCCACACCCACATGGGTACCCCATCACCCCACGCTCACATAGGCACCCCAAAGACACTCCACGCCCATACACCCACCCCACAGTCACTCCATCACCCCATTCCCATAGGGCACCCTGTGGGCACCCTGTGCCCACCATGCCCATATAGACACCTCACGGACAACCTGTTGCCCTGCCCCTACAGAGACACCTCTCCACCAGGACCCCAGCACCCCACCCCCATGCAGGTGCCCCACAGGCACCCCATTGCCCCACACCCACACAGACACCCCACGGGCTCCCTACCACCTTGCGCCCTCTCACCCAGCTCCGAGCCAGGTCCAGCAGACTCTGCCGGATGACCCCAGGTAGGATGACGCCGTCCAGCGGGGGCGTCACCAGCTCCAGCACTAAAGCAGGTGGAAGGGATGCAGGCAGTGAGTGACTCCACCCCCCCCTCCATTCTGCTCACAAGACAAACTTCCCAGAATCCCCTAGGGGGCTGCTGGCACACCCACTCGCGCCCCGAGGGGGCTGCACTCACCCCCGTCCTCGTGGGTCCAGTAGATGAAGATGTTCATGGTGCCCACCTCGGTGAGCTGGTGCTCAGGCCCGTAGAGCCACAGCACCTGCTCGCAGCCCTGCCTCTGGGCCTCCCGCTGCACAAACACCGTGGGCCCGTAATTCCTGGGGCAGACAAGCTGTCAGCAGGGACCAGGGACCCCCGTCCACCCCCAACACAACCCTAGCTGGGTCTTCCCACAGGGGCTGACCCTGCATGTGTCTGTCTGGTCCACAGTCTCCTGCAGCTCCTCCAGGGCCCTTCTCCCCATCCCCCAGGGAACTGAGCCACCCTCTTTTTAACCTTGCCACTCACAGGGACACAGAGCTTGAGGTGATGAGCCCACCATGCTGATAAGCCCAGGACAGTGAGCACCCAGAGACCGGCTGGAAGCACACCCCAAGATAAGTGCCACTCACCCTCCCAGCTTGTAGTCGCCGACCCCCCCAATCCAGGCCCGGATGAACGTGGGGTCAGCCAGGAGGGAGACGGGGGTGAGAGAGTCTCCAGGAAAGTAAGAGCCCACAGGGCACAGGATGACGTAGAGGAGGGCCTGCGTGACACCACCGACACCCAGGGAGGGCTGCAGGGGGCAGAGGGGTGGCGATGTCAGGGTCCCAGGAGGGCAGGGCCGGACCACCCAGAGCCCAGCCCCAGAGCCTCGGACCCAGCCATCTGAGGGACCAACCCACCTCGTTCCCGATGAGCACGGGCCGCACGTAGAGGCTGGTGCCTGCACCATCGGGCACCCAGTCCTTGTCCACCTGGATGAGCCGGCGGATGCATTCCAGCAGCTCCACCTTGTCAAAGCTCTGAGGAGGAATCCCGGGGCGTCAGGAGGACCTGCAGGCCTCCCCCCACTTCTCACACTCGGTGCCCCGCTTCCCACCTTCCCGTGCCCTCTGCCCGTCAGCCCGCCTGTGCCAGAGCCCCTCACCGGCAGGCAGAGACGTCCAGCCGAGCGCAGCATGCGCTCCATGTTGAGCCATGGCCGGAAGAGGCGTACCTGCTGGTCCTTGCCCTTGAAAGCCTTCAGGCCCTCGAAGAGCTGCGGGACAGGAAGCAGGGAGGGGGCTCAGCCCTGGGGGTGGCGCAGACCCGGCGACACAGAGCAGGACCCACACACAGACGCAACGGGTGGGTCTGGGTGGGCGTTGGGCTCTTGGTCTAGGCCCCCACTCCTATCCCCGACTATTGAAGGTTTCTGGAACCCCCCCTTCTCTCTCCACCCGCTCTGGGGACAGCCCTGCAGCCCAGTGCTAAAGCCGTGCTCTATAGCACCAGTATGTGGACGCTGGTTCAAGGCCCGGCTGTCTAAGTTTTTTGAGTCCCAGCTCCACTCCCAACCCCATTTTGTGCTAACACATCGTGGAGGCCGCAGGTGATGGTTTCAGAGGCTGTATTCCTGCCAGCCACATGCGAGACCTGCCTTGAGCGCCTGACCCCAGCTTTAGTGTGGCCAGACCTGGCCATTACACCTGGACAGGGGTTCTGTCTGGCGCTCCACAGACCTCGAATTAGCTTATGCAACCTTCCAGGCGTAGGGATTGTGGTGCAGTGGACTGAGGCTGCCCGAGAGTGCCAGTGATCTGTGTGGGCACCTGTTTCCTGCCCAGCTGCTCCACTTTCGGTCCAGCTGCCTGCAAACGTAATCAGGAAAGGCGCAGAGGAAGCCCAGGAGCCTGGGCTATGACAGACCCTGGCTTAGCCTGGCCTAGCCTGACTACCACTCTCTTTAACTGTGTCGAATAAATAAATCTTTTAAAAGGAAAGTTCTACAGTTAATGAGGATGACTGCACATACTGCGAATGTATTAAGAAAATGGGGGCAGGCATCAAAGCCCGGCAGGTTAAGCCGCAGCTTGGGGTGCCTGCATCTGATTTCAGAGTGTCAGTTCTAGTCCTGGCTACCCCACTTCTGGTCCAGCTCCTTGCCGATGCGCCTGGGAAGATGGTAGTAAAGCAGGGTCCAAGTTCTTGGCACTTGCATGGGAGACCCGAAAGAAGCTCCTGACTCCTGGTTTTGGACTGGCCCAGCTCCAACATTGAGACTGAGACCATCAGGGGAGCAAACCTCATGAAGAACGAACAATCTCTCTCTGTGTAAATCTTGTCAGATACTGTGGCGTGGATCCTGCAGGTGTGACCTGGGCAAAGGTTCCCCAGCTCTGAGCCGTGAGACCTGGCACCTGCTGGCCATCTCCCTAGAGGCCACCTGCCTCTCACATTCTTGCCACCCTTTGTTCTGGGCACAGCTCTGTGCACCCCATCCCATCCCTCCCCACGCACCCCCAGGGCTTGGCCCACCCAGACCCTGCAGCCTCTCCTTCCTGCGTCTTCGCCCCAGCCTGACCGCCTGCCTCTGTCCTCCAGCTGGTCCTTGATGTGGTGCAAGGAGTGTCCCCGAGCTGCCCTGACTCTCTGCAGCTCCAGTGTCTTTGGACAAGGCCCGGCGACTCCTCCAGCCCCCTCAGCCATGTTCCAGTCCCACAGTTCCAAGCCTCTCCCCACCATCTGGGGCTTGCCCCTGGCTGTCCCCTCGCCTCCTCCAGGAGGGTCTCCCTGTCCCCCCACCCAATTGGCCCAGGGCTCCCTCTGGCCTCTCCAAAGAACACAAACAGACCCTGGCCATGTGGAGACCGCCCAGAACAGGAAGTGTGCGCGGGGCCAAGGCAGAGGTCATGGCCACAGCACCTGCAGGGAGTAATGGAGGGCAGAGCAGGCCGGGTGCAGCGTGAGGTTCTGGAAGGGCTGAATGCGGGGCTGTCCCCAGCCCTTGCTCCCCGTCCACTCCACCATGAGCATGTGGTCAGTAAACGTCTTCCCAAACACCAGGGGCTCGTGGGCACTGGGCTTCTTCTGAGGCGAATGTGTTATCTGCAGCTGCAGATCCGCAGCCTGAGAAAAGACACCGTTATCTGAGAAGAGGCTCCAAAGCGACCAACTACAACCCCCATGAACCCCTGGGCCTCAGACCTAGAGAGAAGACAGGCCCATAAGCACAGAGGCTTCTGGGATATGCAGTTTCATCCCCTTGTACAAGGCTGTGGTCCTTGTACAGATGCTCCCATCCAGCCCAGGTCCCACTGCTTCCGGCTAAGGGATCCAGTCCTCTTCCTGTCACCTTGAAATTGGTGGAGGCACATCTTCTGGGACCCAACAGAAGCCAAGGAACAGGAAGCAGCCTTCGGGCACAGACCTGGGAAAGCAAGAGAAGTGAGGGAGACCATGAGGCCGGCGGGGCAGTGAAAGGGGAAATGGCTGGGGCCTCAACACCTCATTTGCCACCTCCTGCACGTGGCAGGGCCCCTCTGGCCCGCCAAGGGCCCAGGGGCTCCCACAGCATGTGAGGTCGTGACCCTGTCCCCAGAAATGCTGAGTCAATTTCATTAGACTCCTCCTTGCTGGGGTGAAGTCCAAGGGAGGCGGGCCCACCGCGGGGAACTTTGGCCCCAGCTCGAGAGCAGCTCAGAGGACTGCAGGGAGCCACGCAGGTAAGTGGGGGCTCTAGGGATCCACGGCAGGCCAGGGGCAGGAGAGCCAGGGATGGTGTCCACCCACAGCCAAGACCCAGGAGTCCGGCCACTCCTCCCTGACACCCAGGGGTCCAGCCCAGACCCTCCTCCCTCACACCCAGGGGTCCAGCCCAGCCCCTCCTCCCTCACACCCAGGGGTCCAGCCCCTCCTCCCTCACACCCAGGGGTCCAGCCCCTCCTCCCTCAGACCAGGGGTCCAGCTACAGCCCCTCCCCTCTCACACCCAGCTGGGTTCCAATGCCCTGAGGTCTGACCCCACACCTTGGGACCCCCTGTGGTGGTTACTGGCATTCCCTTCCAATCCCAGGGGCACTGGGTCAGCCGCTGGCACCAAGGCTTCCGGCACTCACTTCCTTTTGCTCCCCACCCCTTCCTGAAAGTGGGATCAGGTTGTGGTCTAGCTGCGGCATGGCCCCTCCTCATGACCTCTGACCTTACAAGACCCTTTCCCTAGCCATGCAGGGAGACCACCAGATTCCGAGGCTGAGGGAACCACTACCTCCTGGCCTGCTCCTGGCCTGTGTGCTGCCAGAGTTGACACTGACTGGGGAGAATGGATGACAGCTCAGCAGGTGAGCCTTGGGCATGGGAGGCCTCCAGGCCTGAGCTGAGGACTTGGGGGAGGGGCAGGGACAGCGCCTGGGCATACAGGCTGCACCCAGTGGGCGTTCCTGGCTTGGCCTCTAGGCGGCGACACGGCCTGCTCAACCCTTCAGGAGTGGGTGTGGACAGAGGACAGGGAACACAGGCAGGGCCAGTGGCCTGTGGGCAGCTGATGGGCCCTCAGGGAAGAGCTGGAATAAAGCAACAAATACACACCAAGAGAGGTCAGCATCATGGTGCAGTGTGCTAAGCTGACACCTGGTGCAACTCCACTTCCCATCCAGCTCCCTGCCTGTGGCCTGGGAAAGCAGTGGAGGACGGCCCAGAGCCTTGGGACCCTGCACCTGTGTGAGAGACCCGGTAGAAGCTCCTGGCTCCTGGCTTCAGATTGGCTCAGCTCCAGCTGCTTGGCCACTTAGGGAGTGAATCAGATGGAAGATGTCTCTCCCTCCCTCCCTCTCTGTAATTCTGCCTTCTTTTTTTTTTCTTTTTTTTTTTAAAAGATTTATTTACCTTTGCTGAAAAGGCAGATCTAGAGAGAAAGACAAACAGAGAAAAATCTGTCTTTTGGCTCTCTCCCCAAGTGGCCGCAATAGCCAGAGCTGAGCTGAGCTGAAGCCCAAAGCCAGCAGCTTCTTCTGGGTCTCCCACACAGGTGCAGGGTCCCAAGGCTTTGAGCCATCCTCTACTACTTTCCCCAGCGGTAGAGCTGGATGGCAAGTAGAGCAGCCAAGACATGAACTGACACCCATATGGGATCCCAGCTCTTGCAGGTGGAGGATCAGCCAATTAAATCATTGCACTGGGCCCAACACTACCTTCCTTCCTTTCTTTTCTTTCTTTCTTTTTTTTTTTTTTTAAGATTTATTTATTTTCATTGGAAAGTCAGATATATGTAGAGGAGGAGAGACAGAGAGAAAGATCTTCCATCCGATGATTCACTCCCCAAGAACCTCCTCCAGGTCTCCCACACAAGTATAGGGTCCCAAAGCCTTGGGCCGTCCTCGACTGCTCCCAGGCCACAGGCAGGGAGCTGGATGGGAAGCGGGGCTGCCGGGATTAAAACCGGCGCCCATATGGAATCCCGGCGCGTGCAAGGCGAGGACTTCTACCACTAGGCTACCATGTCGCGTCCCCAACTCTACTTTTCAAATACAAACAAAAAAATCTTCAAAAGAAAGGCAAGAAGTGGTGAACATAAGCTGAAAAGAACAGAAATGAAGGCACAGACTTGCTCAAACCATCGAATCATAGAGACGAGAGGGAGAAGGAGAGAGGAGGGGAGAGAAAGGCGAGTGATGGGCAGCTGGTGAAACTGTTCCTTGGAGATGACCACATTCAACAGCAGGTGCCTGCTGAAGCCCCAGCTAACTCTGTTTCCTGTCCAATTTCCCGCTGATGTGCCAGGACAGCAGCAGACGAGGGTTCAAGCCCTTGGTCACCCAAACAGGAGACCCAGCAGACGCTGCCAGATCCTGGTTTGGGCTTAGCTGTCCCCTCCATGTGGAGAGTTCCCCTGTGAATGGAAGTTCCCCTGTGTCTCTGTTCTAACTTCAAACAAATAAATCTCACCAAAGCTAACACAAATACAACGACGCGAGACAAACTCAGGGTAAGAAATGAGGGCAGGAGGGTGCAAGATAGAGCACTTGAGGAACACAGAACCACACAAAGTCAGAGAGAGGGAGAGGGAGAGAGAGAGAGAGAGAGAGAGAGAGACTGAGACCAGGCAACTCAACTCCTAGAAGGAAATCGCCTCTGAGAAACACAGGGACCGCACAGCATCTTCCATGTGGCAAGGCAGAGAGGGCGCAGGCCGCAGGATCGGGGAGGGCACACAGGATCCCGGGCCACTAAGTCCTCGAGGATAAAGAAGGCGCGTCCTCCATCCCCAGGAGCCTCTTCCCAGCTGGCAGAAAGAGGCAGCCAGCATGGGCCCAACTGGTTCAGGGGCACAAGGAAATGATTCCCACTTCCCCTTTAGTCACTGAAATATGGCTTCTTCGAGGCCTTCGTTAACCCCCGTCTAATGTCAGGGCTGGACCAGGCTGGAGCCAGGAGCCTGAAGCTCCATCAGGGTCTCCCACAAGGGTGGCAGGGGTCCAAGCCCTTGGGGCAGGATGGCTGCCTCCTCCCCCAAGGTGCACGCTAGCAGGAGGCTGGAATTCAAAGCAGAGCTGGGACTGGAACTTGGGATGTGAGCAACTTAGCCACAAGCACTTAGAAGGGCTGGGACTGAATGAAGGAAAAAGGAAGAGACAGAGGGGAGGGTCCCTGGGGCAGCGCTGTGCTGACCCATCAAAGTCCTGTCAGAATCCAGGACGCACCCACAAAGAGAATTGTCCCCCAGCTTACATCAGAGACCAGGGTGTCCTACTGCTCCAACTCTCCCTGTCCAGCCCGTTCTAACCCCAGGGTCCTCCCCACCCCCAGGTCGGCCGTGCCTCCACTATAACAGGGTCAAATGGCCTTCAAGACTGTCCCTTGGGGTGGAGGGGTGCTTCCACCGCACCCCAGCATGTGGGGCCAGGACCCTGAACGTGACACCTGTTGAAGTGTCAGGACTTCAGACAGGACTGCCCCAGCACTGCCAGCATCACCCTCACATCCTCCAGGCCCGGGGCCATATCCCTGCCTGCCAAGATCGGAAGGTAAGAATCCGCCCCTTGTGTCCCCAGGCGTGTGCTGTGTCTGTGGGGATTGCGACAGGGCTTTCTCCCAGAGGGACCTTGCTTTCTAAAACATCACCGGCTCTCCAAAGGACAAACGTCAGGCCACATCTCATCACGTCACGCCACGTCACATCCCACCCCCCGCCAGGACCATCTCCTGTCCCTGGGACCCAGAGGAGCTGCCCCGGCTGACATGCAAAGCAGAAAAAAGGGCTCTTCGGGAACACGGCCCTCGGCGGTCGTCTCGATCGTTCTAGAATGGACCGTGGGGGGCCTGGATTGGGGACCCGACGCCCTCCTCACACCGGCGCCCCCGCAAACGGCCTCATCCTCTCTCCCGTGGCGGACCCCTCCTCCAAGACCCCCGCTTTGTGTGTGTTTTTCCCCATCCCATCCGTCTGTCTCCTCACTGCCCACACTCGGGCAACCCCATCCTCCGCGGCGCCCCGCTGCGGAACCCGAGCGCGGGGGCAGCCACGGCGCCCAGCCGGACCCGCGGCACTCGCAGTGTGGTCTCTGCCGGAAGTGCGCCTGCCCTCAGGACTTCCCCCCGCCCCGACCCCGGGCCGCGCACCCACCTGGCCCCGTGCGGCTGCGGCCATGATCCGTGCGGCGCTTGACTGGGCCCGCCCGGGCGGGGCCCGGGAGAAAGACGTTCCGGCCCCGCCCTGCGCACACCCCCCGCCCCGGGGCACCCCCGGCTCCCCGGCAGCCGGGCCGCGCACAGCGCATGCGCGCAGAGCCCCCACCCCCATCACACACCCCCACATTGTTCCAGCCGCGCCCGAGAACAGCGCCTTGCCAGGATAAGCAGCCCGAGGCCGTGGAGAGAGAGAGACAGAGGGAGGAAGGGACAGGCAAAGGCCGGGCAGGGGGCGCCGGCCCCACCATGCCTGCCTGGGCGCCTGCTGCAGACCCAGCGGCTCGGGGACCCGTGGGGCTGCAGGATGGGGAGCTTGAACCCCGAAAAGCTATGTCAGCCCACCGCCGTCCCCAGCAGCACCCGGGAGCCAAACCGCCAAGGGCGGCCCCAGAGCAGGATTTCCTGGCTGCACCCTTGGCAAGGTGCCCTCAGAGACCGGATCGACCCGACCTGGGACTCAGGGTCCAGTCTTGGGGTCCCGGGGACCCCCTGAGCCGTCCCGGGGAGCCCCGTGTTGCACGCTTGTGAGGCCAAAATCCGATTCCTGGGCTTATTTAGGGGGGTGATTCCCCAGGGGGCTACGTCCTGCCCCGGCACTCTCCTGCTGTGTCTTGCCGTCCCCCACTTTTTCTCTCTCCCCCACATCCCCCCAAGTCCAGGACTGTCCCCCAAGTCCTGGACTGTCCCCCAAGTCCTGGACTGTCCCCACCATAGAACCCAGGGGAACCCCGCCCCCGCTTCCCAGCCAATCCGTGACCGCCACACACACCCCCTCCACGGCCAATCCACGACTGCCCTGCGGTGCCTCCCCCTCCACCTGCTGGGCACGCCGGGCCTGCCAGCTGGGCGCCCACCTGAGCCAGCGGGGACCGCCGCACCCCCTGCACCCCGAATCCCCAGCCCCTGGGCTCGTGGAAGCTGCATGCATCTTGTCTCCATTACCACCTAATTAGTGTAATCGCCTCTGCCCCCCGGGGCCTGCTAGTTAATTAGCACACTCCCTGTGGCCTGCTAAGGGGCCCGCTGGGCGGGACCCCAGGGTGCTGGGAGTTGTACACAGAGCGGAAGTAAATCATCCTGGCGGTGGAGTCGCGTTTATGGGAACCTGCAGGGTGGCCTGGCACACCCACGCTGCACCTGGGAGGTGTGGCAGTCTGAGGGGTGGGATGGGGAGGTGGGGAGACAGGTTGCGGGGTGTGGGGAGTCAGGGAGGGAGAGTGGGGACTTGCACAGGGGTGCCCGGGCTAGCCTTGCACGCATAGCCCAGCTCTGCGCCCCCGGTCACAAACAGCTCGATGCCGGTGCAGAAGCTGGCTTCCGAAGCCAGGAACAAGGCTGCTGCCCCCACCTCCGCGGGCTGGCCCATGCGGCCCAGGGGCTGACGGAGAGAAAATGGGAAGATGAGGTCAAGGGGGGGGCCCATGCCTCCCCCCAAACCATCCCCCTGCACTCCCTGGGGCGATCTGGCACCCACTGCTACCTGGGTCATGGCACCCTCTCGGATGGCGGCCATGGGGTCTGGCGCCAGGGCTGCCAGCCCCTGCCACAGCGGCGTCCAGATATTTCCTGGAGAGATACTGGGAGAGGGTTAGCGAAGCCCAACCCAGATGCTGCCTGGTGTAGGGGGCAGTCACCCCATCTTCCCATTCCCCCTCCAACCCAGGCTGCCTGCTCACCAGTTGACTCGGACGCCATATTGGCTTTCATCCAGGGCCAAGGCTTTGGTCATAGCCGTCACTGCCCCCTGTAGGAAAGGCACCCCCAGGCCCTAGCAAATAGGGGTGCTCCCTGGCCTGTCCTCGCAGCCAGGGTCACCCACACCTGTCTTCTCCAGGCGCACAGCATAGCACAGGGGTCAGACTAAAGCTGGGAGTTGGCAAGTGGGGCTGTGGTCTCCCCAGCTCCTCCCACGAATGCCCTCCCCCCCAAACCCCTGCTCTTGGGAGAGCCAGGTGGGGCCTGGCCTACCTTGGTGGCCACATAAGGAAGTGCCTGGGGCTGGCCCAGGGCCCCCACCAAGCTGGAGATGTTAATGATATTGCCCTGGCTCTTCCGCAGGTGAGGGAGGGCGAGCTGGGGAGACAGGAGAGGGAGTGAGCCCCCCAACCCCCCACACCCCAGGTAGACACAGGGCCCCCAGGCTGAGAAGCTCCACCAACGTGTATGTGAGAGACTGACCTTGGCCAAACTGCCCACCCTCCCCTGCCTTACGCAGCAGAGCTGGCTGGCCTGAGCTTCGCCCTGCCCCTGGAGACGAGCCAGCCAGCACGGGCACTCCCAGCGGGACCCATGAGTAGGAATGCAATGAGCTCCCTGTGGAGTGCCCCCTCCTCCGGGGGGGGCAGTGTGCCAACCTCAGAGCTTTGGACAAACTGTTCCTGCCGCCTGGAAGGCATTGTCCTGATGTGACGTGTGTTACCAGCTGTTTGACCCTGCCTGGGGCACTTTCACCAACACGCAAAACCCCCTGATTTCAAGAGCCTCACGGTGCCCGAGGGCAGGGTTTGGGATCCCATGAGTCCATCGTCTGGTCCTCGTGATGACAGGGAAGACCAATGAGCAATGAATGATGTCCCAGACCATTCCTGTGCTTCAGGCAGCCTGAGGCCACCAAACCCATACGCAGACAGGCAGGCTGGCCGCACGGGACTGCTAGGGGCACAGGACCGGGTGTGCGGGTACGGGACCAAGTGGGATCCTGGCTCTCTGGGCCCCTCCCCGACCTCCTCTCATCCTCTTCTCCCCAGGCTCCACCCAGCTTTCATCCTGCCTCCCCCTCCCAACCCAAGTGAGGTTTACCAGGGCCCAAGCCCTGGGCACCGGGCAAACAGCTAGTCCTCCATAAATATTTGTTCCTCCGGCCTGGAACCTCTCCCACCTGCCTCAAGGTCATTTAATGCGTCCAGTTTGCTACAGTCCCGGATCTGCCCGGCCCTCTCTCCTCCTGCCCCTCGCTCCCTGCTTCCTCTTCCAACACTGGATCCAGAGAACTTCCTGTCCCCTCGTGGTCCCTCATCTTCACTCTGACCTGAACCCATTTCGCCTAAAATTTGGGGGTTCGTGGGCCTATCTCTGAGCGCCTCCTTCGCTGGACCCCAAACTTCCTAAATGCTCCCCCAAGATACCTCTCATGGGGGTCCCCCTGGACAGCATATCTCTGTCCCCTAGACAGACCTGGCCCTCCCCTGCCCGGAAGTATCCTTGCTTCACCCAGTCCCACAGCCACACCTGCTAAGGAGCTGTGCAGAGCACGGGCGAGAGCTGTGCGCAGAGCCAGACCCTGTGTGTCGGCTGGCCAGGAGGCCAGCAGCGGCTAGGTGAGGTCAGAGGAACCAGGGCCAGACACGGGGGGCCCTCTGGCCTCCAGGACCGCCTTTCCCATGGTCACTCCGAGTTCCTCACTGCAGCCAGTCCCAGTGGGATTGCTCCTTCGTTCCCGGTCCTGTAGAACCCACTCCCCTCCCAACCCCTTCTGCTCCCTTCCTCCTTTGTCCCCTCCCCCAACACATGCCCAGACTCCCACCTCACGGCCAGGCCTGACACTACCACTCCCCCTACCGAGTACGTGGACACCAAGTCCTCGCCTGTTCCTCCCTCTCCCACGCTGGACCTCAGCGCAAACACGTCTCCCTGTCACTCTTGGTCCCGTCCACAGCTCCCGCCCAATGGACGATGCGCTTACCCAAGGGTCCCCACCCCATGTGGCCTGGGGGAAGCCTGTGCCCTCATTTGCCCTGCACTGCCCCCCAGCAGCTGGCCACGGCCAGCCTGGGGGAGGACAGGCTCACAAAGGCAGAAGCCCCAAGCAGACAGAGCAGCCAGGGGCTCCCAGAGCAGGCCGTGCCCGCCTCAGGAAGCGGATGACCATGACAGCATTCACACATTTCTTGAGGTCCAGCGACAGCAGCATCAACTACAGACAAAAACCTTTGTCCGAGGAAAAATTTAACACCAGGGACAGACCGTGTCAGTCCTAAGATGGCTGAGAACCAGGGTGTGTGGGACACAGACCCTGATGGAGTTCCCGCCTCCTTAGCTAGGGCCCAGGCTGCAGGGGCAATGCCAGCTGAGGGAGAAGTCAGCCTGATCCCTGAGCCTTCTCCACCTGACGGGCGAGACGGCGGGCAGGTGCCCGACCACGGGCAGCTGTGTGCTCACACCTCAGTGACATTCTGACCCGTGTTGCAACGTTTTCCATCATGTCCTCATCAACATACCCACGGATGAGACACTCACTGGTGACCTTACACAACGCCCTGGGGTGGGGGGTGGGGATGGCAGTGTGGGCACAACAAGTTTGACCAGGCAAGTGGGACACAGGGCTGGCACACCCGCCCTCCCCGCCGGTGATCTGATCAGCGGCTCCTGCCCCAGGGCCTTCACAGGCCCTGCTGGTGAACAGTGAGCAAGGCAACCCGTGCCCTGCTTCTCAGGCCCCACACCTACCTCTCCGTGGCTTCCCCTCACTACCCCATGCTGCTTTTGCCAATCCGCAGCTGAGGCAGGCCCAGGACAGCCAGCAGCCAGAGATCAGAGCAAACGTTGGCAGTCACAGTCGCCGAGGGTTTACTCAGGCCTCAGCTTGGGGCTCCAGGATGCCCACAGGACATCCACAGGACAGGTGACAAAGCCAAAGCGTGAGGCCCCTGTGCAGGAAGTGGCACAGGCCCCAGAGGAGACGGCTGGCAGCCAGTGTCAGCTCTCGCCCTTGAAAAGTAGGCAGCAGGAAAACAGACGAACCCTAGACCCCGGCCGGGGGTGGCCAGAGTGGCAGAGAAGGGGCCCTCTGACGGGCCCTCAGTACTACACTGCCTCTGGAGCAGAACCTCAGAATTGGTGCCTGAGCTGCCTGCCCCCTCACCTCCACAGCATCCGGGGTCCCCTGAGCTCCTCCCTTCAAGACACTGGGCCCCAAGCCCACTTCTCCAGCGGCAGCCCCACACCCCAGCCCACTGGCCCCCCAGTGCGGGTTAGGCGGCATGCCACTCTCCACTGCCCTCTCCCAGGCTCTGTCTGACCGCCAGCTTCAGTGGGGATGACAGTCTTTTCTGAGGGAAATCCACCTGCACAGCTGATCTGGAAAGAAATGCTGATAAATCCACCTTCAAAACGGACCCAGCACCGCGACAAGTCCAGGGTGCCCTGGTGAGCGCTTCGGCCACGGCCGCTACATGACCACCAGAGGGCGCCAGGTCCCCACCTTCTGCTAAGGGACTTTCCAGGTCACCTGCTAGCAACTTTTGTGCCCCTTCGCCACCCCCTGCGCCCCCTCGCCACCCCCTGCGCCCCTTCCCCACCCCCTGCGCCCCTTCCCCACCCTCTGTGCCCCTTCCCCACCCTCTGTGCCCCTTCGCCACCCTCTGTGCCCTTTCCCCACCCCCTGCGTCCCTTCCCCACCCCCTGTGCCCCTTCCCCACCCTCTGTGCCCCTTCCCCACCCTCTGTGCCCCTTCGCCACCCTCTGTGCCCTTTCCCCACCCCCTGCGCCCCTTCCCCACCCCCTGTGCCCCTTCCCCACCCTCTGCTGCGACGGGTACAGCGTGCACACATATGCCATGACCAGAACACCATGCACACACAGGCCGTGACCAGTATACCATGCACACACCTAGGCACACTCAGGCACACATGTGTCTGTCATGCTCATCCCCGAGCTGCTGTCACTTGCCAGCACAGCGCCAACCCCCTCCCCCGTGACTTTTGACCCTCATCTGTCTGCCCCCGACCCAGCACCCGCTCCAGGAAGGCAGGACTTCCTGTCAGTTTGGCTCGTTGCTCCTTCTGTGCCCATGCTTAGCACGGTGTAAGTGCTAAATACCCACTTGGTAACTTCATTCATTTTAACGGGTCCCAAGGTGGGAAATCAGGCTGTTTACATAGAAAGTCCTGTGTGCCCCTTACAGCCCTCACCTGTGTGAACAGCCTGTCTGGTGTTTGCATGAGATCAGGACACAGCGTGAACTAAGGCCATGGGGCAGGAGTTGCCTCCCCAGGCTCCAGGGATGGGGGTGCCCTCGGGCCTCCCTGAGACTCATGGGGTCCTGGCCCCACTCTAGCACTGCCTCCCTGGGTGCCCGGCACAGCCCCAGCCACCTGTGCTCGCCACACCTGCTCCCCAGCTCTACCAAACCAGTTCAGAGGGTTCTGGAAGGTGTGGGAAGGTTCCGGAGACACTAGCTCAGTGGAATGGTTGGCACTCAGATCTTTCTGCAAACCTGGGCTTCTCTTGAAACAGGAACCAGCTTGCTCCCCGCAAGACCCTGCCGGGGTGGGAGTCACCGTGCCCGGCCCCTCTAGCCCCCACCTTGCACAAGGTGAAGGCTCCCAGCAGGTTCAACTCCAGCAGGTCCCGGAAGCCCTGGGCTGTGGTCTCTTCAATCCGCTGTGGCGGTGGGTCTGGGATGGGGGCAGAGGGGGAGGTGGTGAGCCGGGGGGTCCCTGCACAGGCAGCATGGTGGGGACGGGTCTGGAATATCAGCCCTCCCCTTCCTGGGCAGCCAGGGGGCGGGGGCTGTGTAGATTATACTACAGTTCTGTGCCTTGGGTTGTGCAGCTGCAGTCTGGGCTGCCCTCTGTTCTTGGCCTCGTAACTCCGGTGCCCATAGGGGATGTCACCGCTTGCAGGTAGAGGATTGGCTCGCTATGCCACAAAACCAGTCTCATATATTTAACATCAACCCCTGCACTTCTACTCAGGGCCACAGCCGTGTCTGTTGAATGAGTGAAAGGAATGGGGGAGGGGGGGAGAGGAAGGCAGAAAGACAGAAGAACCAGCACCCAGGAGACAGGAGCTGAGAAGGCTGGAGAGAAACCAGCAGGAGCAGAGGAAAGGCCCCCGGGAGCTGTGAGGGGCAGCAGATCGGGATGGAGGGACAGAGAGGCAGAAACCGGAGCGGGGAGTGCAGGCGTGCGGTTAGGCCGCCACTTGGGATGCCAGAAGCTGTTATCTGAGAGGCTGGCCCCAGCAAGGGGGGCTCAGCTCCTGGGAAAGCAGAAGGAGGCACAGGTGCTGAAGTCCCTGCCAGCCAGGTGGGATGCCAGGCTCCTGGACTCGACCCGCACCAGGCCTGGGACACTAGGGAGTTAACCCGCAGCTGGAAGGCTCCGTGTCAGAAATCCCTGCACATCAGATGCTCAGTCTCCTGCAAAGAGGCCAAGCACCGGAGAAAGCCCCGCCCCGCTGTAAAGCCACGCCCCCAGGGACCACCAGGAGAGAAGCCACGCCCAGGTGAGCCACTCCCCTATGTGGAAAGCCACGCCCCTGGAGGAAGCCACGCTCCCGTGCGCCCTCCCCTACCTGGAAGGCCACGCCCCGGAAGAAGTCCCGCCCCTAGAGGAAGCCACGCCCCGGAACACCACCTGGAGTTGGCCAGAGAGCCCCAGAGCCGGGGCCCAGCTTGGGGACTGCCATGTTGTCCTGGTGGACTTGGAAAGAAAGCGGGGAGACCTGGCACGACGGGGCGTCAAGGGTAGGACAAGGGGACCGAGGCAGGGAGGCAGGGTGTGTGGTGCTGTGGGGGTTCACAGCCCGTGGGCCCCACAACTCACGGTAGCCCGCGTTGTTGACTACACAGTCCAGGCGGCCGAAGCGGCGCACGGTCTCAGCCACCAGGCCCTGAGGAGACAGGCAGGTGTGTGTCCGTCCCAGGGCTGCACTCCAGGCCGAGGGAGCAGGCCGGCGGGACGGTGAAGCAGCTCTCACCCTCACTTCTTCTTCCCGAGTCATATCACAAGGCATAAAGACGGCACCCCTAAGCTCCTGCTCCAGGGCTCGGCCTCGGGGCTCTGCAGAGAACAGAAGCTCTGGCTTCTCTCAGGGGTGTTCTCTGGGGGCTGGGCCCCTGGGTGTGAGCGAGGGGCTGGGCTGGACCCCTGGGTGTGAGGGAGGAGGGGCTGGGCTGGACCCCTGGGTGTGAGCGAGGGGCTGGGCTGGACCCCTGGGTGTGAGGGAGGGTCTGGGCTGGACCCTTACTCACCATCCTTGTCGCAGATAACCACTTGGGCCCCACTGTCCACTGGAACAGGAAGAGTGCCGTTAACCCTCCTGGTGGGTGCACTTTGTCCAGGTCTTGGCTGCTCTCCCCTGACCACGCAGACACGGCCAATCTCTCTCCCTTCCACCCCAAAGTCTAATGAGGTCCCCCAGGTTACAAAGGGCAGAATGACATGCAACTCCCTTGGCCACTGCAGATGCTTGCTGGGCTCTGCGTCCTGAACAGGGCGACCAGCGCACACCCCAACCACCTGAGGCACCTTGACCCCAACCCCGGCCCCCCACACCCAGCCTCAGCCACAGTCGCCCAGCCCATGGCAGCGTGAGCGTTAGCCCTGCAAGTTACGGGCTGCAACATCCGAATCCTGCCTTCACACACGCCTCTGTCTGCCCCAGTATCTCCCCTCCCAAATTAGCTCTCCCAGCACCCAGCTCCCAGCAAAGGGACTCCCACTCACCAAAGGCCCGCACAATCCCAGCTCCAATGCCGCGCCCACCCCCTGTCACGATCACCACCTTCCCGGCATAGCGGCCTCCAGACGCCATCCTGTGACCTCCTCATGGGCTTACTTCCACTTCCCAAGCATGCTGAGCCAGAAGGAACATAAATAGGGGCCAGACCCGCTGAGCCCCACCCTAGGGGCGGTACCAGGAAGGCCAGAGACCTGCAACTTTGGCCCCAGCCCCTTCTCCCTCAGAACAGGGGTCCAGCCCAGCCCCTCCTCCCTCACACCCAGGGGTCCAGACCCTCCTCCCTCACACCCAGGGGTCCAGCCCAGACCCTCCTCCCTCACACCCAGGGGTCAGCTCCTCCCTCACACCCAGGGTTCCAGTTCTGCCCCTTGGAGACTCCAGTGTGACACCCCAGACAGATAAACAGAATGCTGTTGACTAAAAGTTCAAAGTTTAATCCAAATTCAGACAGTGTTTGGAAAAGCAAGTCTTGGCTACAGACGTAGGTCCCTCCCAGGTCTCAGGTCGAGGACAGATTGCGCCCCCAGACACGCAGCAGGTGGTGCCCGCACACACATCCTGCCCCCTTGCCCCCCGCTCTCCGGGGTCCCCCTGGGCAGGGGTCAGAAGCTGGACTGCAGCAGAGTGACCCGCAGCGGCCACGTGTCCTCCTCGGGGCTCAGCGCAGCAGGGGAGGGCCCGGAGCCCCAGCTGGGCTCCCACCCGCTGCGCCCGCTGCTTGGGTGGGGGTCGTCGGCCACTGGGGACGTCGAGGCAGGGGTAGTCTGCGGCCTGGGGTCCGATGGAGCCGCGGCGAGCGGGTCCCCCCCGGAGTCCAGCTGTCCACCTGCATGGGGTGCGCGGAGAGGGCGCCGTTCCGGATGCAGCACCACGCACCCCGGGGCCCTTACTCCCGCCCTTACTCCCTCCCCACCAAGTCCAACAGACAGCGACCCCCAGCGCCCTTCCAGCCCCTCACCTAGCATGATTTTGTGCCACTGGGACGCCTCCGTGGCCAGGGCTTGGGAGAGGCTGAGGACCCGCTCCCGGTGGCCTGCGGCCATCGGCGAGGAAGGCCCAGGGTTCCTGGGACTAGGAGAAAGAAGGGCTGAGTGGGGGGCGTGTGCGGTGAGGACCGCGGTGCCGCGCGTGCTTCGGGGAGTTGTAGTTCCCCGCACGTGTGTTCGGAGACATCAAACTGGGCACGGTGCCCTCGCCGCCCGCAGCATGATGGCATGTGTAGTCTTTTTCCACCCACATGCTGGGCACTGTGGCATTTGTAGTCCAGTCATTATGCCAAAGGGCAAAGGGCTGGATTGGAAGGTTATGGCCAGAGCAGTTCTCCTGTTGGACCTAGCACTTTGTGAGTGTCTTACAGCTGCCCCAGAAACCCAGGCCTCTTTAGGTTTGTGCTTCGAGACTGCAGTCCTCGGGAGGCCTCAGGCACTGCCTGCCCCTCCCGTCTGGCGCCTGGGCTCGCCCGGCGGGTCCTTACCTACTCCAGGACCCCGAGCTCCGCAGCCATTTCGTGGTTCCTGTGTGTCCTAGGCCAGGCTGGAAAGGAACTGGGGGCATTAGAACTCCTGACCTGGAGGCCACCACCAGAAGGGAGCCAGTGGGCTCCCATTTTACAGACTGGGAAACTGAGACTCAAACTCCCGGCAGAGGACCCACCCCGACTGCCCTGTGCCCCTCACCCTTGGCTCTGGGTCGGGCTGGCGCCTGGTTGGAGTCAGAGTCCTCCCCAGGGTGAGCAGTCGCGGGGAGGCCGGACGGGAGAGGGTCCGTCCACGTTCCTGGTTCCTGCGCATGCGTTCTAGTTGCTCCTGAGCACTCATCCGAGGGCGTGCCACGGGGGCCTGGGGCGAATTCCAACAAGAAGGAACTGTCAGGCCCCAGGACCCTGAATTCAAATATCTGGGGACATGTGGGCCTTGTGGTGGCTCCCACAGCTCCTCTTGGCTGGAATGGAGGGAACAGAGCAGGCGTGGGGAGGCACTGGCCGCAGGCCCGGGTGCCTTTCCGGAGAGCGAGAGGAGGTGGGAGTGGGCTGGGATGCTCAGGGTGCCTGCCCACAGCCTGGTCCTGGACATTTGCCCTTCCAGAACTGTGAGGCCATGAACAAACCATTGAAAGAAAAGAGGGAGGAGGCAAGTTCAGTGTGCTGGCGTTGGGGCCGGCCTGCACTGGCGATGCCCGTGGGAAGCCTGCGCCCCCTCGCTGAGTGCCCGGGTGCCAGGTCCACTGCTGAGCTCAGCTGCCTGCCAGCGTTCCCCCAGGGAAACAGCGGGAAGAGCTAAGGCCAGTGAGTCGCTGCAGCCTTCCCAGAGACCCGCTCCTGGTCTGGGCCTGGCCCAGCTCCTGCAGGTGGACTTTTTAAAGATTTATTTTTATTATTTTTTCATTGGAAAGGCGGATATACAGAGAGGAGAGACAGAGAGGAAGATCTTCCATCCGATGATTCACTCCCCAAGTGAGCGCAACGGTCGATGCTATGCCGATCCGAAGCCAGGAGCCTCTTCTGGGTCTCCCACACGGGTGCAGAGTCCCAAAGCTTTGGGCCATCCTCGACTGCTTTCCCGGGCCACCAGGCAGGGAGCTGGAAGGGAAGCGGGGCTGCCGGGATTAGAACCGGCGCCCATATGGGATCCCGGGCGTGCGAGGCGAGGACCTTAACCACTGCGCCACCGTGCCGGGCCCGCAGGTGGACTTTTGGGGAGGGAACCAGTCACTCAGATCTCTCTCTGTTTGGGGGCTAGCATTGTGCTGCTGCGGGTAAAGCTGCCGTCTGCCATGCAAACACCCTAGAGAAGGACTGATTCTTGTGCCAAGCGATCTGCTTCCAGTGCCCTCCCTGTTGGTGGCCTGGGAAAGATAGCCCACATGGGAGTGCTGAAGGAAGTTCCTGGCTTTTGGCTCCTAGCTGTGGCCTGGCCACTGTGGCCGTTTGGGAAGTGAACCAGCAGATGGAAGATGTCTGTCTCACCCTCTCTCTGTAATTTTCAACTTTCAAAATAAATCAATACAATTTTTTTTTTTTTGTCACTGCTTTTCTGCCTGTCAAATAAATGGATAAAAAGAAACTTCAGGCCCAGCACGATAGCGTAGTGGTTAAAGTCCTCGCCTTGAATGCGCTGGTATCCCATATGGGCACCAGTTCTAATCCCGGTGGCCCCACTTCCCATCCAGCTCCCTGCTTGTGGCCTGGGAAAGCAGTGGAGGACGGCCCAAAGCCTTGGGACCCTGCACCCGCCTGGGAGACCTGGAAGAGCTCCTGGCTCCTGGCTTCAGATCGGTACAGCACTGGCCATTGTGGTCACTTGGAAAGTGAATCATTGGACGGAAGATCTCTGTATATCTGACTTTGCAATAAAAATAAAATAAATCTTAAAAAAAAAAAAAAAGACACATCCCTAAGGGCACTCTGTAGATGGCCCACCTTGGCTCCTGGCTGTGGAGAGGCAGAGCAGGGACCCTCTGGGCTGGACGCCTGGGACACCTTTGGAGACCCAAGACCTGCAAGGATGGAACACTCTTGGTGAGGTTGGGGACACCACGGGCCTCCTGCCCCAGCAGCATGCTCACCTGCACCAGGGCTGGCCGGGTCTCTGTCAGCCCCAGGCGGCCTCCCCCAGTCTGTCTCTGGAGAGCGTGGGGAGCTGAGGTCCGAGGACTCTGGCAGGCTCTGGAGGGGCCAGGAGAGGGGCACAGCTTGTTATGACCACAGCCATTTTTCAAGCACGTAGCAACGGCAGCAGTGGTACTACTGTGGCACAGTAGTTTAACCCACTGCTGGGGACACCCACATCTGGTACTGGAATTCCAGCTACTGTGCACCTCCAATCCAGCCTCCAGCTAATGCGCCTGGGACGCAGTAGATGGCTCAAGAGCTTGGATTCTTACCTCCATATGGGAGGCCAAGATGAAGTTCCTGGCAGCCAGCATAGTCTGCCCTACCCCCACTACTGAGGACATATGGAGAGTGAACCAGTAGTTGAAAGATCTCTCTCTTCTCTCATTCAGATGCACAAAGTAGATCACGTGCGCACACGCACACACACACACACACACACACACACACACACATATATGGTCAACAACTGATGACCACTGCCCAGTGCTGTACAGAAACCCGAGCATCCGTGGTTGCAGGAGCCCCCGGAACCTGGCTGTGCAGTGTGAGTGGTGCAGCTCCCGACGCTGGTTATGTGGCCAAGTGCAAGGCCAGCACCCTGCTAAGGGCTAACCTAGGAGACAGGCGGGAGGGGTGGGGTGTGCCAGGGGCTCACGGGATGGGAGAGGAAGCCGTGTGTGTGTGTGTGTGTGTGTGTGTGTGTGATGTCTCACCTCCCTCTCTGACGACTCCTCCCCCTGGAGCGCAGGGGACGGCGAGTCGGGCTCGGGGTGAGGGGGCGGCCTCCGGGGGCTCCCCAGACCTGCCAGTGTGTCTTCTACCATCCACAGCTGCTGCTGGGCCGAGGCTCGGTCCTGGGGGAAGGACGGAGTTTTCTATTCAGACGTGGGGAAATGCAGGAGCCTGGTGGTCCTGACGTCAGACTGGCCGAGCTCTGGCCTTTGCGGCCATTTGGGGAGTGAACCAGTGGGGAAGAGTCTCTCTGCTTCTCCTTCTCTCTGTAACTCTGTCTAAAAACAAACAAACTTGTCTGATCCATCCAGAGTAGAGTGCACACCCTCCTGCTGAGAGCAAAGATAAGGTCTCACTTGTTGACGCTCCAGTCCTGTTGTCCTGTCGCAGTGGGCTTGGTACCGCGAGCCGATCAAGGGACGTCCCTCCCCTCTCCCTTTCACTCTCTCAGGACAGTGCTTTCTCGCATCCGTGCCTTTATTTTGTTAAGTGTGGTGAAACGTGCGATCTGGTTTCCATGCGTTAAGCTAACCTCACGTTCCTGGGTGAGGCACACTGTTCCCTTTATGTTTGCTGCCGTCCAGGGGTACTTAACTCCACAGGCAGTAGAAATTAGGAGGAGCTGGGAGGGGCTTAGAGTGAAGACAGGGGGGTTTGAATCTGTGAAGAGTGAAGTCGGAGTGAAGGTTGGGGTCGGCACGATGGCTCAACTGGCTAATTGTCTGCCTATTAGAGCTGGCATCCCATATGGACAATGATTTGTGTCATAGCTGCTCCACCTCTCATCCAGCTCCCTGCTTGTGGCCTGGGAAAGCAGTAAAGGACAATGCAAAGCCTTGGAACCCTGTACCCACATGGGAGACCTGGAGGAGGCTCCTGGCTCCTGGCTTTGTATCAGCTCAGCTCAAACTGTGGCAGCTATTTGGGGAATGAACCGGTGTATGGAAGATCTTTCTCTGTGTCTTTCCTTCTGTCTGTAAATCTGCTTTTTCAATACAAATGAATATATATACATATATATATATAAAATACATACTATTTAAGTTAAGGTCTTCAAGTAAACATACATGATTTTGAACCCCTCGGCTTTGTGTCTGCAGCTCAGCAGTGGGCTAACGTTTTAGCAGTGGAGCATGAACATAAAAGATTGGGTCTGGAACCTGAAAGTCCAGGGGCTGCAGGGAACATGAAAGCCAGGCCACAGACAGCAAAAGCTGCACGTGTCCCGTGGGGACCAGGCCGAGAGGCTGTGATGACATGAGCAGGGCTTGGCCCCAGAGGAAGAGGAGGTCGGGACCAGAGGGGACGGTGGCTCCGGCTGACTCTGACCCAAAGGCAGGGCCTGAGCTCCACAGGGCCCTCAGCAAGGACAGGGCGGATCCCCCACCTAGAGGACAAGATGCTTCCGGAGGCGCTCGGAGTGGAGCAAAGGGGCTTGGGGCCTCAGCAGCGGGAAGTACCTGCGGTGACCCCAGGTGCAGTAGATACTCCAGTGTCTCTCGCAAGGTGCCCAGCTCCTGCTCCAGGCCACTGTAGGTGTCCCACACCCGCTCTCGGTCCTTGGGCCCCAGAACACGGAGATACAGGTTAGCGCTTCCCCTGACAAGATCTTTCAGCATGCCATCTGGGGAGGCCTGGGCACCCATTCCCAGGGGTGGCTGGAGAAGCCCTAGGGAGCACCTCCATTTTAGCCATCCCAACAATCATCTCAGTAGGTCAGTATTTGTCTGCTTTATGTGCAAATCATCATGATAGCCAAGTAACAGTTACTTCACTACATTTTAAGTATTCATTCATTCATTTACACATGTACATGTGACCTTCGCAATGATTTTACAAAGAAAATTGGCATTTTGGTGAGGCACCTGAAGGCCCAGAAAGGTTAAGTAGCTTTTCTAAGGTCACTCATCTATGTAAGGCTGATGGAAATCTTGAAAAATGTTTAGGGCCTGGCACAATGGCTCAATTGGCTAATCCTTTCCTTTCAAGTGCCAGGATTCTATATGCATGCCGGTTTGTGTCTCAGTTACTCCACTTCCCATCCAGCTCCCTGCTTGTAGCCTGGGAAAGCAGTTGAGGACAGCCCAAAGCCTTGGGACCCTGCACCTGTGTGGGAGACCTGCAAGAAGCTCCTGGCTTCTGGTTCCCACCTGGCCCAGCTCTAGATGGCAGGTAGCAGTGACCCCTGGCTCCCTTCCCCAGTCCCAGAGGGAAGTCCGGTCCCAGCAGGCTGGGTCCATCACTCTCTCTACACCCTCTTCAAATGCTAAATTAAGCTGTGATTGCCGGCTTGTCTCCTGTCTGGGACAGTCCAGCAGCTAGAACGTGAAGAACCTCCTCTCCTCTGACCCCAGGTCTCCCCAACACGGACCCTCCTTCCCCAAGGCTCACCTGAGTCAAGTGACAGAGGGTGGCCCTCACGCTGACCAGTCGGTCCTGTAGGAGGCGCTGGCGACCCCAGGCCCTCCCGGGAGCCCCAGCCTCTCTGGTCGCCTGGCCCAGCTGCTGCCGGGTCAGCTCCAGGGCTGCTTCAAGCTGCTCCTGCAGTCAGAGCAGGTAGTGAGCCTTGCAAACCACACCCAGGCCCAGGGGAGTGTCCCCTGCCCCCGCCACATCCTCGCCATCCGCCAGGGTCCCGACTCCCGTGGTCATGGAAAGCGCTGGACCAGGGCACAGGCCATGCCCTCTGTGGCCCAGCACCTTCTCCTCCTGCCTCTGGTCGATCTCCTCCTGCAGCCGCCTCAGGAGCCGGTCCTGCCCACATAACTTGGTCAACAGAGTCTGGAGGGGAAATAAGGGACAGAAGCTTTCCATGGAGCCTTCTTCAGCCCCTTGCCACCACCATCTAGAACATTCTCTCCCCTAGGAACTCACGATCTGGGAGAACTTACATCTGTCTCCATGCTTTGCTGGAAGGTTGAGTCCAAGGGCGGACCTGGCTGCGGAGGGGGAAAGAATCAAAGGTCAAAGGGCACACAGAGGTTCCCGCTGTAACACACCCACCTCCTCACCCCCAGCTAATGCACAATTTCTGCTTATTAGCTTCCCTCGCAGGTGCAGGGTCCCAAAGCTTTGGGCCGTCCTCGACTGCTTTCCCAGGCCACAGGCAGGGAGCTGGAAGGGAAGCGGGGCTGCCGGGATTAGAACTGGCGCCCATATGGGATCCCGGGCGTGCAAGGTGAGGACCTTAAGCACTGCGCCACCGCGCCGGGCCCGCTTATTAGCTTCCTTCTAAGCTTTAGCTAACCCCCCAAGACCTCAGATGGGATCGATGAGGTCAGATATTGACAGTAAATAGCAGAGGCCAACTGTGACCTCCGGGGTTGGACACAGCACTGGAGCTACCGAGCAGAGCTGTGAAAAAGGAAAAGGGAAGGACAGGAAGCAGATCTGTGTCCCTCTGCCCACAGGGCCTACAGAGTGAAGGGGCATCGAGGGTTGCCAGATGCCACGTGGAGGGACATAAGTGAGCAGCAATCTCTACGGCATTAATGACGATGCAGTGAGATTAGTAGCCATTTGAGTGGCTTTGGAACATCAGCTTATCTCCAAAAGAATGCAAAGCAGGATCTTGAAGAGGTGTTTGTTCATCCAGAATTACCAACAGTAGCCAAACACAGATACAAAGTGCCCATCCAGGGATGCATGAACGATCCAATGGGCTCTCTCCCCACAGATACCATTCCTAAAAACAGGAAATCCTGTTTCGGGAAACAAGGAGGAAGCCTGCAGAGCCTGTGCTCCAGCAAAAACGCCAGTCCTCCCCAGATGGATGCTGCACGATTCTGTATGTATGAGGTAACAGCTAAACTCGTAGGAACAGGAAGTAGAACACTGGTTTCCAGAGACGTGCGGACGGGAGATGTCCCAAGGAAACCGCACTGTCTTGCACACTGCACCCTACACAGAGCATAACCGATGGGCACGGCACAATGCCTTGATTGGCTAATCTTCCCCTCACAAGCACCGGATCCCTTATGGGCACCTGTGCGTGTCCAGCTGCATCACTTTCCATCCTGTCTGTGCCTGGAAAAGCAGCAGAAGATGGGTTGAACCCTTGGGAACTTGCACCCACATGGGAGACTCAGAAGAAGCACCAGGCATCTGGTTTTGGATCAACTCAGCTCTGGCTGTTGTGCTCATTTGAGGAGTGAAACAGCGAATGGAAGACTTTATGAATCTGCCTTCTCATTAAGTGATTTTTTTTAATGAACTACAGGGGGCTGCCCTCATAGTGCTGGGGGTTGAGCCACCATTTGTAACACCAGCGCTGGTTCAAATCCCGGGTGCTGCACTTTCAACCCAGCCACCCCAAGCATCCCTCCCCATGGCTGTATGTAGCCACTCCACAGCACACTTGGACGGGGGTCCCCACAAGGCCTACTTTTACAGAATGACAGCCCTTCCAACCACCCCCTCTTGCTACAAGAATTTCTTGAACGCCACAGAGGGCTCCTCAGGCCCTCCTGAGCCTTGTCGCCAGGAAGTGTCACCCCTGCCAGCTGAAAGCCCTCATCACTGTGCCCTAGAAATATATATACACATATATCTACCTCTCTGTCTCTCTTCTCTGTAAATGTGTTTTCCTATAAAAATAAATAAATCTTTTAAAAGAAATTTCCCAGTCAGGCTGAAGTCCTTGCCTTGCATGCACTAGGATTCCACACGGGCATTGTTCATGTCCCAGCTGCTCTGCTCCCCTTCCAGCTCCCTGCCTGTGGCCTGGGAAAGCATTCAAGGATGGCCCAAAGCCTTGGGACCCTGTAACCGCATGGGAGACTAGGAAATGACTCCTGGCTCCTGGCTTCGGATCAGCTCAGCTATGGCTAGTTGTTGCAGCCACTTGGGGAATAAACCAATGTCTCTCCTTCTCTCTATAAATCTGACTTTGCAATAAAAATAAATAAATCTTGAAAAAAAAATCCCCAGTCTTTCTTAAGCACTGTAGGTCAGGGAGTAGATCCTATGGAGTACAGAAAGCAAGGGGGTGCTCTGGAGACTTGGGGTGTACCAGGGTACCTACCAATAAAACCATGGAGGCCCGGGTCCCGGGAGGGCGCGGAGGGAGCTGCAGGTAAGTGGCAGAACCCGAGGGGACCTGGAAAGAGTATGAGAATAGAGACGCTCAGACACGGCCTGCCTTCACAGCCAGTACTGGAGCAACCATGGCCAGAGCTGCCGTGTCTTAGGAGGCCTTTGGTGGCACCATGGCGACACAGAGCCCATTGGAGGGACTTCCCAGGATGACAGAGTGAATGGGCAGTGTCAGCCGCCATCCTGGCTACCCTGCTTCCCATCCAGCTCCCTTCTTGTGGCCTGGGAAAGCAGTAGAAGTAGGCCCAAAGCCTTGGGACCCTGCACCCACATGGGATACCCGGAAGAAGTTCCTGGATCCTGGCTTTAGATCGGCATAGCATCAGCCATTGCGCTCACTTGGGGAGTGAATCATCGGATGGAAGATTTTCCTCTCTGTATATCTGCCTTTCCAATAAAAATAAATAAATCTGAAAAAAAATATGCTCTCGCCTGACCACACAGCCCCAAGGGCTGATAAAAGTTATGTATATTTTTAGTACAATCCCATGATGCTCAGAGAAAAAAGCTGGGGACCAACTGGGAAGGTTCTCAGACTGAGTTTGTCAGACTGTCTTGCACTGCAATCTCCATGGTGTTCAAGGAGAAAGGCCCGGCAGGACACTGCCATGCCTGAGTCCATTCCTTCCCAGCTGAACCAAGGTGCCCTTTAGGCACCGCATTGCGCCTACTGCCAAGGACGCGGCCTGAGCAGCACACACCCCAACCCCGAGAGGCGTCTGCGCTCTGCTCGCCTGTGTTCTGGGCTCCGGACTCCAGGGCTGGGGGCTCCTGGAGGACCTTCCTCCTGCAGGCTCCGACGAGGGTCCTCGGCGGGGTGTCGCGGGCCGGGAGAGGCTCTGGCGCTGGGGGCCCCACTCCGAAGCAGGCCGAACATCGATGCGACTCATGGGGGTGTGCGGTCGCACAGGGGGTGCTGCTTCTCCTGAGGAAGGAGGAGGTCGCCGCACCGGGGCCGAGCGGGGACGCGGGAGACTCAGAGGGGACGGAGGGCCGGACAGGGCTGTGAAGAGGCTGCGGGAGGAGAAAGGCAGGATACTGAGTCAGCTGGAGCCCGCGACCCACTCCGCCCGGCTACACACCCACACACACCCACTCGCTCCTCCACACACACCCCACACACACACGCTGACACACATACCCACTCACACACACCCACTCACACACTCACCTACACACACCCACGCCCACACACACTCGCACCTCCCCACACACCCACACACACATTCACACACCCACTCACACACACCCACTCGCACCTCCCCACACCCACACACTCACACACACACACCCCCACACCCACTCGCACCTCCCCACACACCCACACACACCCCACACACACTGACTCACACACACATATCCACTCACACACACACCCACTCACACACACACACTCACACACCCACACATACACACACACCTACACACACACCTACACACACCCACACCCACGCCCACACACACACACTGACACACACACATACCCACTCACACACACACACACCCCACACCCACTCGCACCTCCCCACACACCCACTCACACCTCCCCACACACCCACACACACCCCCCCACACACACTGACTCACACACACATACCCACTCACACACACACACACTCACACACTCACTCATACTCACACCCACACATCCACACACACCTACACACGCCCACACACACGCCCACACACACACTCACACCCACTCTGCCAGGGCAGCCCCAAGTACCTCCCTCCTCCAGGCCTCAGAGTCCCGCAAGACAAGGATCCTTCTCTCCAGGCCAGATCCTGAGCCACTGCCTACCCACCCCTTCCTGGCGTCTGCATTAGAACGACTTCCAGGAGGGTGGATAATCCCCTCTGCTCATAATCCCCCTGACAACACGCCAGGCCACGCCCAGGGGAGCCAGGCCCTGCCCATCGCGCAGGCCACGCCCTCAGCTGCCGATAGGCCCCGCCCCACTCAGCTCACGGCCCGCCTTCTCGCGAACCCACGCCCCATTCAATGCCGCCAAGCCACGCCCCCAAAAGGGGCCATTCCCTCCTCTGGCCAGTTCCGGTCCCGCCCTTCTCAGAGGTCACACCTCAAGAAGGCGCCAGGTCACGCGCCGATGTGGTTCCCGGTCCCGCCCCACTTCGTTCCCGGCCCCGCCCTTCTCACAGGCCCCTCCCCGACCCCCAGGCACCGCCCCACTCCCGACCACGCCCTTCACGCAGGCCCTGCCCTCCCGCTCCCGGCCACGCCCGACGGTGCTGGCCACGCCCTTCCGGCAGGCCACGCCCTTCCGGCAGGCCACGCCCTCCCTCTCCCAGCCCTGCAGCACTCACTCCGGGCTTCCCGCCCTCCGGGTGCGCGGTCCGCACTGCAGGTCAGCTGTGGGGCTGGGGGTGCGCAGCCGCGGCCGGCCACGGCCTCTGGAGAGTCGAGCCACCTCCGGGGACTCGGAGACACGCCTCTCTTCCCCTCTGCTCCCCTCTGGGGGGCCTCCCGGGCCGCCGGGGCCCTCCGCAGGCTGGGCACGCGCCGGGGACCTGGGTCTCCCGCTAGAGAGCCGGGGCACACAGAGGTGTCACCTCCTCGCGGAATGGGGGCAGCCTCTGCTCTCCTCACAGGAAGAGGGCCGGTGGGCTTCCCGAGGGACGGAGGCCCTGAATGGGGAAGCCACGCGTGCTAGGCCCCAGCCAAGCCACGGGGATCCAGGTCCACCCTGGGAATCGGGACAGGCGACCCTAGAAGACCATCAGTCACGTTAAATCCTGACCTTGGCTCCCAGGGGACCTGACTTAGGTGGTCGCCCTCGAGAGAGGCTTCTGAAGGAGCCAATCAGATGACCGGCGGGGGGGCATGCATGCATGGCTAGGAGAGTCTGATTGGAGCGCGAGCCTGGGGGCGGGGCTGGAGGGAGAGTCTCTATGCTGATTGGAAGGATTCTCTGGGGGTGGGGCCTGAGTGGCCTGGGTGACCGGCAGGTGGACGGTCCAGAGCAGGAGGTCTGAGGTGATAAGAATTCCTCTGGAATGGAAGTTCAGGGTCAGGGCCCGCGGCCTGGGCCTCTGCTCACCCATCGTCCCCCTCCGCACGGGAGGCCCTGCCCAGTGCGCGCAGCCAGCCCCGCAGGTCCTCCAGCGTGTCCGCGGCCAGAACGTACGTCCTCATGCCTGGGTGCTCGGCCTGCCGGAGAGACAGGCCTTGGCACGGGCTTGGGGCCTGGAGGACGCCGCCCGAGACCCTGGGCCTGACCTTGGATCTCCAGTGGTGGGTCACTCACACCCACGCATGCATCCCTCTCCGGTCCCCTGGGGTCGGGATGGGGTGGCCCCACTCACCGTGAAGGTGAAGCGCCTGCCTCGGGGGGCGCCCGGCCCATCCGGCCTGATACTGTAGCTGGGCAACAGGACGCTACCCAAAACACTTTCCTCGCGGCTGTCTACAAAGAGGGGGGCTGGGGTCACACAGCAGCAGGCGGCCAAGAGGCTGGGGAGCAGGGAGGGACCCATCCCCAGCACCAGCTTGGGCACTGACCCTTGTAATAGAAGAGGCAGTGGCCGGAGAGGACGAACCAGCGGCGTTTCCAGAGCCGGAGTCCAGAGCTGTCCTGGGGGAGACCGGTAGAGGAGGGAGGAGACGGTGACACGGGGACAGAAGTGGGCAAAGCAAGAGACAGAGACCCAGAGAGAGGGCTGTGTGGGGAGATGGATGGAGACCTACTGAGGGGGGCCTGGAGACAGATGGAGGCAAGGTGGGGGGGTTCAGGAGCAGCCACCCCAAAACGGAGGTATGCAGCCACGTGTTGGGGGCAGCAGCATCATGGCTGGACGTGCGTGGGAGCAGAGCTGCCATGGATCCTGGACACACCAGCTCAGGAGTGACTCCAAGGCCGTGGCTGTTAACCCAGGCCCTGGGACGAGCTGTTTCCCCCGCTGGGCCCCTCACATTTCTCATTTGTCAGTTGGGGCTTGTGAAGTCATGAGAATGTGCAAATGAGATGATGTATCCCACGGGGCCAGGGGCTTTCATTTTTTAGAGGTTTTATTTCATGTTATTTGAAGAAGAGGAATCTTGTATGCACGACTTCACTCCCCCAAAATCCACAGTAGCTGGGGTCTGGCCAGCCTCCCCAAGCCCAGAGCCCAACCGGGTCCCCTCCGTGGGTGGTAGAGCTTGGGAGTAAATCTGGAATCTCCTGCCCTACTGCCTACCAAGGAAGCTGGAATATAGGGCAGAATCAGAACTCCAAGTCAGGTGCTACGAGGGGGGTGCGGGCATCCCACGCCCGGCTAAACCACTGCGCCAAATGCCCCTGCTGGTCCACTGTTGCTTTACAGCCACTTCCTGTCCCCTGCCATGAACTCCGGGCTTAGGTAGTTACTAATTACACATCTGTCTCTGCTCCCATCTGGCATCTCATTTATATGGTGTGTGTCCTGGGACCGGGAACGTGGTGTGTGCCACAGAAGTTGTCATTGAGTGAACGGATGAAGGAGCCAGCATATAAAATTAATCAGACAAGGAGAGAGGCAGGGATAACAGAACGGGATCGTAGGTGGGGACTTGGAAGGGCAGAGGCGGTGGACAGGCAGAGGCAGTGGACAGGCAGAGGTGGTGGACAGGCAGAGCCCCACCTGCAGTAGCCTGTCCTTCCCCACTCACTCTACCTGCTTGTGAAGCCAGCCACGGATGTGCACGGGCAGGTTGGGGTCCCTTCTGAGAGCATTGCCCCTCTTCCCAAAGGCATGCACCTTGTTGACCGCCCGGGTGGGCTTCTGAGGAGAGAAGGGACAGAAGTGAACGGGGCCTTGAGATGGCCTGAGGAGGCGTAGCCGCAGGCCCTGCCTCAGTCAGCTGCCCTGCCCAGGTCAGGGAGTAACCGGGGTGGGGCGTCAGTGCACCACTCACAGACACAACACGAAGCGGGGATGGGGGCGTGGGAGGAGCAAGGCGTTCCGAAGACCTTCGGAAGAGGCTGCGGGAGGGAGTTTGGGAATCTGGAGTCTGCTCTGCAGAAGGGACGCTTTAGCCAAGGGAGCCATGGGTGTGGCACCTGACCCGGGAATACTGGTGGGGAGGGGCCGCAGTCGGTCAGCTGAGTCCCTGCCTTGTCCAAGGAGCCACATGGTGACACTGCCCCCGTGACCATCACAGGCACGGTGCAGTTTTCAGGTCCTCCTCCCAAACCCCGATCCACTTTGCTCAGCTGCGGCAGCCCACCCCGATGTACACGGATCCCCTGCTGGCTGCCGTCCTTGGAAGTAAAGCTGGGGTTGGGATTGAGTCTTAGGACCCTGAACTTGGGGGAGCTGGGGACATATGAACAGGAGTGCAAGGAGATGAGGCTCGGAAGGGAACTCCAGACAATTCAGTACCTCTGGGCCCTTAGTGTCCCCCACAACCACCTAGAGGGGCCTCACGGCTAGGGAGTGGACCCAAGTTAAGCAATAGAAGTTGCTTCTCTGGTTTAGAAAGGAAAATCGGAGGGAGGGTGGGGTCGGGGCTGGGCTGGGGGCCGACTTGGGAGCCTATGGGGTCAGCCAGCCCCCATTGCCATCGCTGGTCCCTGACAACCACAGTCTTCCAGGTGGCTGAGAACCCAGCGCCAGGGAACAGGGGGAATGGAAAGCCCACTGTTTTGCCTTCCTCCCAGGCCCCACCAGGAAGCTCAAACCTTGGTGCTGAGGGTGCTGAGCGAGGAGATGGTGGAGGCGCTGCTGGCCGGGCTCAGGCTGCTCCAGGGCCTGCCTTCCTCCATCAAGGCCATGGGGAGGGGAAGAAAGGGGCTGTGTTTCGGTGGGTGACCCTGCTGGCGACCGGGATAGGTTCAGGGGGTCGGAGGTCAGAGGAGGTTCAGGAGAAAGAGGCTGTTGTTTCAGGGTGTGGGGGGCTGGGGGTGACTGCATACCGAGAGCCATGCCAAGGGAGGTAGGCGGCAGAGGCAGCTGCGGGGAGGGGGCAGCTGTCTGCGGGCCGGGCCAGATCATAGGGGCCCCTTTATTCCTGCTCACTGTGCCGAGGCCAGGAATCTGACCTTCTCTGAGCTTAAGGACCCCCATTCCCTGCCTCCTTCCGGCTGCACCCCAGCTACCTGGCTCCTGCTGCCCCATGCCCATCTCCAGTCCCCCCAGGGCCAGCTGTCTGAATCAAGCTGGTCACCACCATGGCAGGAATGTGCCCCAGCCAGCCCCTCCCGCCCCTCACCCTCCAGCCCAGCTTACCCAGCTGGGGGGTGCCCAGCGATAGGAGTCTCCCCTCCTTCGTGTCCCTCGGGAACTGTCTCTCCCAGGCCTCCGGTTCTCTTCTCACCTGCTCACTCGTCCCCTTCCTGTCTCTTGTCTCCTGTCACCCTCCTCTCCTCCTCACTTGCTCTCCCTTTCAGAATGCCTGTCCCCCAGTTCACCTTCTGCCCCTGTCTCTCCCAGTCTCTCTCTCTCTCATTCTCTCCACTCAACCACCCTGTTTCCCCGCTTGTCTCTTTCAGAGTCACAATTTCTTCCTTAACATCTCTCTCCCTCTCTTTCTTTCTCTCTGACCTGCCCTGTCTCTCCCCCTCACACTGCCCCCACCCCGCGCACCCCTCTCTCTCTCTCTCTCTCTCTCTCTCTCCTGCCCCGACTCTCCCCCTCACACTCACTCTTTTCCGATTCCCCTCGCTTTCTCTTCCTCCCTCTCCGTTTCTCTTTCCTTTCGGCTGGTCTTTCCCTGCCTCTGCCAGCCGCCCACGCCGTTGTCTCCCCTCCCAGTCCCAGCTGTCCCCGCCCCTTCTGGCTTCCCCACCACAGCCTGACCCCTGCAGCTCTGCTGCCCCCACAGCTGAGGGAAAGGCTGGGTCCCCTAACCTCCAGGGACCCTATGGGCCATGGCTGTGGGAGGATGTGCCCTCCGTGTTTGGAGGGCATTGGTGCACTGAAGCGAGGGCACCTGAGTTTTACACAGAATGGAGACTCAGCCACTTGAAGTCCTGGGGTGATTGGGGTTGGGGTTGCAGACTCCTGGGCGCCTGGGAAGGTGTGAGTCCGGGACTGCTCAGGGCTGCAGTGTGGCACTGTTTGGGTGGGGCTGGGGGCGGTTCATCCCAGCTCCCCAGGGAGAAGGGAGTGGCCCGGATTCCTGGAGCCCCATTGGGGCAGGGTCAAGCGGCCGGTGCCAAGTCTCCATCTCAGATCCAGATAGGAATTCTGTTCCAGGTCAAGGATAATAACCCCCTTGGGAGGGAGACGGGACTTCTGGACCTGTTTGATTATGGATCAGGTAGGGGAGAGGGACAGGACGTGAGCTGTGTCACCCACACCAAGTGTTACCCAGTCATAGCTAAAGTTTCCACCCCAAAACATCACGTTGCAAAGATGTTCACAGCCAGGGCAGGCACAGTGCTGCCACCCGGAACACGCAGGTCCTGTGTCAGAGCTGATCGGAGCCCTGGCTCTGGTGCCAGCATCTCACATCTCTGGCTCCAGCTCCCCGCTGATGCACCTGGGAGGCAACAGCACGGCCCAAGTGCCTTCACCCGCTTGGGAGACCCTCATGGAGTTCTTCTTTCTGATTTTGGACTGGCCTGGATCTGGTTATTTTCAACCATCTGAAGAATGAATCAGCAGAAGGAAATATACCGTTATTTTTATATATTCCCACTTTCTGATGCTCTTTTAAATACATAATTAATATATATTTGAAGACATTATCATTTTTTAAAGATGTATTTATCTTTATTGGAAAGACAGATTTACAGAGGAGAGACAGAAAGATCTTCCACCTGCTGGTTCACTCCTCAAGTGGCCACAGCGGCCCAAGCTGAGCTGATCCGAAAGCCAGGAGCCAGGAGTTTCTTCCGGGTCTCCCACGTGGGTGCAGGTTCCCAAGGTCTCCCACGTGGGTGCAGGTTCCCAAGGTTCCTCCACTGCTTTCCCAGAAAACAAGCAGAGGGCTGGATGGGAAGTGGATCTGCTGGGATTAGAACCGGCACCCATATGGGATGCCTACACTGTAGGTGGAGGATTATTCAGCTATGCCACCGTATGACCTAGTGATGTGAATTTCAACATGAGTGCCAAAAAGTTGTCATCACCTGAAAAAAAAAAGTGGTAAGTAAAAGAAGTAATTTTTATTTTAATTTCCACGTAAGTGTGTTGGCTAGGCTTGAACCCAGTGACACGGAGGCGTGGGGTCATGCCTCGGCCTGGGCAGGAGTCTGAAGCCCTGCCCGCATGCACCCGACCTGCTGGGCACCCACCACGCGGCCAGGGCGGTCGCAGCCGCCGAGGGACCCGCCTCGCAGTCGGGGTGGGCTGTGAGCCCCGGGCAAGCCTCAACTTCCTCATCTGTGGAATGGGAGCAGCCGGGGCAGGTGCGGGCCGCCCAGCGCACGGGCTCAGCCGGGCTCGCCCACCAGGTCCACGTGCGGGACGGGGAAATGCCGCCCTGACGTCCCGGACGCAGCCCGGAATCCCCGTCACTAAGTTCCCGTCTCCATCTTCGCTTCCCCACCCACCACCGCCGTGCCCTTTCGGAACTCCGCCCCTCCGCGTGACGTCAGCACGCCGCGAGCGCGTGCCTATAAAAGCCCGGCACGCGAGCCCCCTCCCCGTGATTCCCAGGCCTGAGGAAGTTTACATGCCAGACGCCGCTCGACCCCGCGCCCCGCCATCGATCCTCGGAGTTGTCCACGCCTGAGGGCGACATGAACGCGCTGGCTTCCCGAGCCGTCCGCACCTACGATCGCTTCTGTCAGCCCGAGCCGGCGCTCCTGCCCCCCGGGTGAGACGCACTTCTCAGTCGGTGAGTCGGAGAGGAGGGGTCCGCCGGGTTCCCCCCAGGGAGTCGGGGGGCTGGGACCGGACCTCCCACTCCGAGGCCGGAACGCCTGGGTCCTGAGCAGGGGACTCGGGTGGGAGCTGGGAGTCAGCCTGAGGGGTGAGGCGTCGGGGAGACGGACCCTCGGGTCCCCCCAGTGAAGCAGCGCCGGAAGGAAGCCAGTCCCAATGTTTGTTTTTGAGTCTCCAAGGAAAGGATGTCCTGGGGTGCTGGCTTGTCAGCTCTGGGGAGGATGAGGGAAGTCGGGACTGGTCTTTGTTCTTGGTCCCTAGGACTGGTCCCCTCTAGAGGAAGATGGGTTTGGAGGGGAGGTCTCTTGGATCGAAGAAAAGCCAGAACTAGGGACCCAGACTTGTGGGTGACGGGAGATGGGGATTGAGGCCGGAGAGGGGCGTGGCGGATTCCAGAATTTGCAGCAGGCGTGCCTGGGTTGCTATTCTGTGGGTATGACTCACAGCTGTGACCCAGTCAGCTCCAAATACCATCCCTATATGGCTCCTAAACTTATCCCTTCTCTCTCCTCCTTTTCCAGCCCGGACAGATGGCCCCAGGCCAAGTATCGCATCATGGTGCCCCCTGGAGGGACAGCCACCCCTTCTTTCTCTTGTCCCCACTGATGGGTTTCCTCAGCCGGGCCTGGAGCCGCCTGCGCGGCCCCGAGTTCTGGCTTAGAGAGGCAGTGACTGGAGAAGATGGGGTTGCAGATGGCCTGGAGGCCGGAGCCATGCCTGCTGTGGCCTGGAAGGCTGAAGGCCACCCCGGAATGCAGGAAGCAGATGGAGAAGCAGCCCGCCGGTCCTGCCCGGAGCTGAAGGCCGGCAGTCCCCTCCCTCAGTGCTGGGGACTTGATGAGGAGGAAGCAGCCAGCATCCCCAGAGAGCAGAGACGGGCCCTCCCAGCCAGCCCCTCTGCCCCCCTGGGCCCCAACCTGTGGCTGAGAAGCCTGCAAGGCTCCGATAAGAACCGTGGGGAGGAAGAAGGGGGCGTGGCCGCGTTCTCTGATCCCTCCCCAGGGTGGGAGCCCAGTCCAGTGGTGGAGGAGCCAGAGGGTGAAGAAGCTGCTAGAACCACGAATCCCCCCTTAACTCCGGGGACATGTGCCCCAGGGGAGGAGGAAGGTCAAGCCACGGAGGAAGAAAGCCAGGACGTTGGGAAGACCTCTGCGTTGGCCTCCTATTCAGGCACCAGTTCCACAAGGGAAGACTCTCAGGAGAGAGATGGAAGGGCACAGCAAGCAGTCGGGAAAGCAGACACTGACCCAGAGCCATGCTCCTCGGCGTCCCAGCAGAAGGCTCTGCTCACAGCCTCGGCGTATCGGTCCAGCCAGGACCCGGAGGAAGAGGAGGGCCAAGCTGTGGGGGCAGTTCAAGCTGCTTCATCCATCAACCCCACAAGTGCCTTCCTGAAGGCCTGGGTGTACCGGCCAGGAGAGGACACGGAAGATGAGGACAGCGACGAGGGATCAGCTGAGGAGGAGGGAGAAGCAGAGGGTTCCCCCACAAGAAATGCCTTCCTGAAGGCCTGGGTGTACCGGCCAGGTGAAGACACGGAAGATGAGGACAGCGACGAGGGATCAGCTGAGGAGGAGGGAGAAGCAGAGGGTTCCCCCACAAGAAGTGCCTTCCTGAAGGCCTGGGTGTACCGGCCAGGAGAGGACACGGAAGATGAGGACAGCGACGAGGGATCAGCTGAGGAGGAGGGAGAAGCAGAGGGTTCCCCCACAAGAAATGCCTTCCTGAAGGCCTGGGTGTACCGGCCAGGTGAAGACACGGAAGATGAGGACAGCGACGAGGGATCAGCTGAGGAGGAGGGAGAAGCAGAGGGTTCCCCCACAAGAAGTGCCTTCCTGAAGGCCTGGGTGTACCGGCCAGGAGAGGACACGGAAGATGAGGACAGCGACGAGGGATCAGCTGAGGAGGAGGGAGAAGCAGAGGGTTCCCCCACAAGAAGTGCCTTCCTGAAGTCCTGGGTGTACCGGCCAGGAGAGGACACGGAAGATGAGGACAGCGACGAGGGATCAGCTGAGGAGGAGGGAGAAGCAGAGGGTTCCCCCACAAGAAATGCCTTCCTGAAGGCCTGGGTGTACCGGCCAGGTGAAGACACGGAAGATGAGGACAGCGACGAGGGATCAGCTGAGGAGGACGGAGAGGCAGAGGGTTCCCCCACAAGAAGTGCCTTCCTGAAGGCCTGGGTGTACCGGCCAGGTGAAGACACGGAAGATGAGGATGAAGACAATGAGGGTGCCGGAGCTGACTCAGCCACAGCTGAGAGAGAGGAAATGGCTGACTCAGGCCCCCAGCCGTCCCTTGGGAGCCCCAGCACCCTCAGGAGGTGGGTGTGTCTGCCTGGAGAGGAAGCAGAGGAGGCGGCAGAGGGAGCAGCTGAGCCTGACGACACCTTCCAAGTGGCCATGTACCTACCCGGCGAGAAGCCACCACCTCCATGGGCGCCTCCTAAGCTGCCCCTGCACCTGCGTAGGCGACTCAAGGTCTCAGAAACCCCTAGGCGGAGTCTGGACCCCGAGAGTCCCCTGGACAGAAAGGTGGGTGCTGAGGGCACAGGTCCCTTGAGACTCAGGGGGAGCAGGCTGTGGGTTGGAAGTCCTGGGCCCCTTGATTACACAGGATTGCATGGGAACTCTGCAGGGACAGCTGTGTGCCATCACGCAATGCTGTGTAAGAGGCTTGGCTCCTGGCAGCCCCAGCAGCCTGCCCCTTCCTCTAGTGAGTCAGAGGAGAGGCCCTCGGGGGCAGGCAGGTGACACAAACAGTAGGCGTGTTCCTGTGACTAATTTGTATTTGGTTCTCTCTCCTCCCCACCATCCCTGGCTCCCGCGTCTGTCCATCTGTCTCCAGGTGCACTTCTCTGACAAGGTCACCGTCCATCTCCTGGTTGTCTGGGCAGGGCCAGCCCAGGCTGCCCGCAAGGGCCCTTGGGAGCAGCTGGCCAGGGATCGAAGCCGTTTTGCCCGCCGCATCAGCCGAGCCCAGGAGGAACTGGGCCCCTGCCTCACACCTGCTGCCCGAGCCAGAGCGTGGGCACGCCTCAGCAATCCACCCTCTTCTCTGGGCCCCATACTCACCCCTACCCACACCTTGTCTTGCTCCTCCATCTCTCCTGGGTCCCCAGAGCAAGCCAGGCCCCTGAGCCAAGCCGTGGCCATACCCTCTCCCTGCCCACCTGGTGAAGCTGCATCTTCTGGCCTGGGCCTCAGCGGGAGGCGTGGCTAAGACCAAGTGTTTTGTGTGTTATTTATTCAATGTTTCTTAAATTATTTATTTATATTTAAAAAATAAAGACTTCAGGTTGGTAAGAAGCAGTGTCTTTGTGATAGAACCGACACCCTAACTCATGGGCCCTTGATGGTTGGGAAATGGCATAGCAGCAGGTGCTCAATGAAAGATAAAGTAGATTTCCCAGTATCCTTTGTCGTCTGCCAATGTTCTTCCTAAGCTTGGGACAATTAGCTCCGCAAGGGAGCTGAAGCTTGATTTACTAATCCCTAAAAGTAAAATATTAAGCTCCAGTTGCTTGTGCTTTCCTGGAATTTTTTTTTGTTAAAGTTTGAAAGGCAGAATTACAGAGAGAAGCAAAGAGAAAGATCTTCCATCCACTTGTTCACAAATGGCCACAGTGGCTGGGCTGTGGTGAAGTTAGGAGATGTGGGGCTCCTGTGGTGGCAGGGGTCCTAGGAACTAGGCCATATTCCGTTCTGGCAACTGGCTAGGCAGCACAGCAGGCGAACCAGGGATGCTTGCATTGAAGAGCATATGTCATACAAATGTTAGGAGTATAAGCTATTCTGACTCTCGGCTGCCCACTGAAGTTTACATAGCTTGGAATTCTCTGATCCATGAGTTAAGGTGCCGGGTGTGCAGGTTGATGGTGGCTCCTTCCACGGACTGGCCAGGCTCCCTGCCACGTGATCCTCCCACTTGCCCCTCAGAACAACCACTCCCAGCCTTGACTCCCCACATCGCTTCTCAGACCCGTGCCCTGCCCCCAGCCAGCATACTTGAAGCTCCGTGTCCTTTTTCTGTGCGCAATTTGCCTTTCATTGTTGTCTGTCACCAGTCTCCCGGCATTGCCTGTGACCCCAGGTGCAGCCTCGGTGGGCACAACACTGGCCACCCAGAGGCATTCCCGAGCCCTTTTCCCAATGAGCAGGCACTGAAGCTGGTGAGGGGTTGGTATTTATTGAGTTACTCACAAGCCAGTTTCCCGTCAAAACTGGACAAACAGATGGCGAAGGCCTGAAGTGGGCAAAGCGGGAAGCGGAAGTCCATGGTAAACGTATCTGGAGCCACCCGGCCAAACTGGAGCACCAGGCAGTTCGCTGAGGAGGAAGTCAGGAACTAAGTCTCAGGCCGACCCGTGCATCCCCCTGCCTCCGACCTTGAACTACAGCTTCCAACAGGCCGTGTGGGGCCCTAAAACTGCAACCCCTGACAAGGACCCAGTAAACTACAAGTCCCAAGAGGCTTTGCGGCAGCGTGGCGTGCACCCTGCTTAGAAGAAGCCTCAAGTGTTGATGGGAGTAGCAGTTTGGACGCTCATGCCCCCTGGCCCCGGAAAGCCGGCGGGTTCCCAGGAGCTCACGGTCATCTGGGCGCACCATCTGGAAGTTCTTGACCGAGGCGCGGGTAACCCGACCATGGAAATTGAGCACGTAGGCGCCGCTCTCGTCGCTCCATGACGGGGATTTGTTTTGCAGCAACACCAACCCCTGTTTGGCTCCCCGATGAAAGCGACTCAGAAGCGATTCCTGCTCCTGGAAGGTCGTGGAGTGGTTTGTTCACCTGCCCAGCCTGCCGGTTTTCTCCGGAGGCAAACAAGTGGGAATTCCGAGGGAATCCGACTCCCGACTCAGGGGCACCCCTCCATCTTCCTCCCCCTGTCCTGGGATGTAGGACGCCGTCCCTCCGCCTTCGCTAGGGTCGCCCCTTCGTGCTTGGAGTGCTTGCGGACTCACACTCTGGGGCTGCACTCGGATTCTCTGGTTCTTCTTGTCCATTCCCGGGAGGATCACGGTCATTTTCCGTGGCCCCCGGAATCCCAGGACGTTGGTCTCCTGGGAGGATTGTTTGTTTTTTTGCTTGGCCTGGCTCCTTGGCCCTCCGGTCCCGCCCTCAAGCTCCCTGGCCCTGGGGGGACACTTACATAACACACAACTCCCAGCTCCTCTCGGATCCGGGAATTCCCTGGGACCAAATACCTTCGTTCGGGATTCACACCATTGTCAAAGATTGTAAACTTAGTGCCCAAGATGTTAGATCTGCTCCAGGGAGGGATAGAATGAAAATAATTATTATTATTTTGGGGGCTGTCAATTAGGGGATTTCTCTCAAATCCGTCCTCTTAGGAATCATGTTCCCTGGACCCTGTGTGGCAGACTAGTAGCTAAAATCCTTGCCTTGCATGCGCGAGTATCCCATGTGGGCACAGTTCATATCCCGGCTGACCTGCTTCCCATCCAGCTCCCTGCTTGTGGTCTGGGAAAGTAGTCGAGGATGGCCCAAAGCCTTGGGACCCTGTACCCGCATGGGAGCCCTGGAAAGAGGCCCCTAACTCCTGGCTTCACATTGGGCTCAGCTCCAGCTGTTGGGGCCATTTAGGAAGTGAACCAGCAGATGGCTTTCCAATAAAAATAAATCTTAAAAAAAAAAAAGAAAGTCCTGCTCCCTGTATGCAGCAGCCCCCACCCCTGGGGTGAGCCCTCAGCCCCTACTCTGTCCCTGCGGGGAACCCTCCTCCTTGGGACAGCCGCTTGGCCCAGCAGGCTGGATGCCCCTGCCCCATATCAGAGTGCCATGGGGCAGAAGCAGGCTGGAGACTCCAGCATTTCAGCAATGCAGGAGGCAGCGGTGACGTTAAAGGAACCGGCAGCCGTGAGGGAGATCTAGACCGAGAACCCCGCCCTGTACCCCAAAGGGTTCAGCTTCGTCCTGTCCGCCCTGAAGAACTGCATGAGGTCCTCCGGCATGGGCATCTTGTGCCGTGTGGCACGTTGGAAACTGTGGTCCCTTTGTCCCTTGTTTCGCCTCGCCTCCCTGCAACCTGCTACTTACACTTTAGGGTCCCACCCACCTGACTTTGCCCACAAAGTTGTCACCATCCCGAGACAGGTCTGTGGGGTCCAGGGAGATGAGGTAATTGGAGGTTTTGCTCCTTTTTCTCTTCCGCCCAGCCAGCAGGAAATGCTGCAAGTGGGAGAAATAGCCCATCAGAATGATCTTCTGGTGTTTGGCGTAGAGTTAGGCACCACAGACCAGGAAAAGCCATGGCCCAAGGCAATGGGAGGGTACTGGTGCAGGAAAGACCCCCTACGTTGCTGGGAGAGGGGCTTCTCACCCTGAAAGAACCTGCCAGCTAGGCTCCCAAGGTGAATGATTCATTTAACTATTGGCCCTTTATCCCTTCCACCAGCAGATTCCTGGTTGGGACTTGGAACCAGACAATGGCGAGCCTGAGAGGCAGGATCTGACTCTGGAGAACCTGGAAGACCCTTAGGCACAACAGGGAGCAGGCTTGGGAGGCATGTCTTCCAAGCAGAGCTGATTCTGGGACATTCCTGAGATCTGAGGGGCATGGGAGTGGCTGGGTTTAAGAGGGCTGGAAAAAGCCTTCCAGGCACAGGATTTATCCTAGGATTGAGTGAAGTCTGACAGCAAGGAGGCTTGGGGAAGGACCAAAGGGCCCTCTTGGAGAAGGTTGGGTGGGGGGCGTGACATGACTTTAGAGTGGACAAGACTTGATATCTGATAGTTACGAACTAGACCACTGGGCTCTATAAGGGAAGGATTCTAGGGGCTGGTGCGATGGCTCAACTGGCTAATCCTCCACCTCAAAGCTCTGGCAACAAATATGAGTACAGGTTTGTGTCCTGGTCGCTCCATTTTTCATCCAGTTCCATGCTCGCGGTTTGGGAAAGCAATAGAAAATGGCTCAAAGCCTTGGGCGTCTATGCCAGCCTGGGAGGCCTGGAAGAAGTTCCTGGCTCCTGATCAGCTCAGCTCCAGCTACTGTGGCCATTTGGGAATGAACCAGTGATTGGAAGATCTTTCTCTCTCTTTCTTTTCTTTAGATCTGCCTATCCAATAAAAATTAAATAATATTGAAATAAATTGAATTCTAGATCTGGGAGGGGCAGGGATCAGCATGGGAGTTGTCTGGTCTGCTATCTAAATGGCAAGCCAAGTGTGGATTTGCGGAAAACCCTGACTGTGCACAGAAAGGGGTGGGATTGGCCCCAGGGTATGGGAAGTGCAGGGCGCCCACATGGGCCAGGCCAAACCTTCAGGCCTTCTTCAGCCTCCAGGTAGAGATAGTAGAAGGGGAACATGCCCCTGTCGACACCACGCTTATTGCGGCTGATGCGGCACTGCACCACGTGGCCCTGAGGCGCCGGCTGCAGCACGTAAGCCTCCATGTCCTCGCCCAGCCGAGGGCCCGGCATGGAGGGCGGTGAGTGCACGGGGCTCTCCACATGGCTGTCAGGCCGGTCCTTGCCTTCCTCCTCTGCTTCACACATCTCCTGCTTGGCTGCGGCTGGGGAGTCCATTGCTGAAGACTCCCACTCCTTTTTTTTCTCTTCCAGGTCTTCCTCCTAGCCCACCGACCCAATTCAAAGTTGAGTGACAGTTGGTGCACAGCTTTGATGACTGCTGATTGGCCATTCCAGCAAAGGGTTACGTCCCCTTGCCACATGCATCTCCTGTGCCATTGGCCAAATATCTCAGCCAGTCAACCAAGCCATACGCTGAAATCTGTTGCTAGGGTAATTCTATTCATTTCTGCCTGAAGCCAAACCTCCTCTGCCTGCTGACTGGGGAATCCCAAGGAGAGCACCACCCATTCGCGTGATCCGGAAGGGCCTCTGACTGGGCCACCCGGAATTCATCCCCACCCTCATCCGATGTCCTGGCTTGCTTCCTCTCACCTGGCAGGAGGCCAGGTCTCCGCTTTCCATCGCAGGGTTCAGTTCTGGACTCATTGTGTCCTCATTGTCTTCGATATCCTGTAATTTATTCTGGTCGTCTGCACTGGCCCCTAAGGGGTGGGAGAAGCCAGGGACTGAGCTAAGGGGTGCCAGGGGTTTGGGACAGGGTCATCAGGGCTGACTGGAAAAGGCTGAAGCTTTTGGGTTCTTAGCCCCTATTTATAAGCCCTCACCTTCAATTGACAAGTCTCCCTGAGCAGTTTCTAAGGGCCCCAAGGACAGGAAGGGGCTTTAAAGTCTTACCTCTCCCCTTATCCCGAGAGGCAGGGAACGAAGGCTGGGGGAAGGAGGTTGGGGGTAATAAGTTGGAGTCCTGGCACTACAATGGCACAATGAAATATTACTAGGGAATGAAAAAGGGACAAAATGCTGATAATGCTGATAACAGCATAGATGGCCCTGAGCAACTTCATGCATGGAGGAAGCTAGACGGAAAAGATGACACGTTACATGATTGCACACATGAGAAACTTCCAGGACAGTCCCATTCCAAGAGGGAAAAAGTAGATTAGGGGTTATCTTGGAAGAAATGAAAAAGGAATGACTACTAAAGGGTGCAAAGCTTCTTTCTGGGGTGACAAAAATGTTCCCCAACCGACTGATGTGATGGTCACACATATTTGTGAATACACGAAAAACCATAGAATTGCAAACTTTAACTGTAGGAAGTGTATGGTATATGTGAATTGTTCTTACTAAAAATGGTTTCTAGGAGCTGAAGTTGTAGTGTAGTGGGTTAAGATGCTGCCTTGTCATGCCAGCATCCCATATGGGCACGAGCTTATGCATGTCCTGGCTGCTTTACTTCCAACCCAATTCTTCTAATGCACCCGGGAGACCCTTAGAAGCCCCTGGCTTCCAGTGAAGTCATTCCTAAGGTCAATCAGAAGATAAAAGATCTCTCTTAAGCAGATTTCTCCCTCCCTCTTTCTCACTCTCCCTTAAAAAAAAAATCTTTTTATTTTCCTTTCTTGTTTCTCGTTTGTGTTTCTCTCTCTTCTTTTTAAGCAGTTTCAAAAAAAAAAAAAAAAAGTAAGATGATTTGCAACACAGCTGGGAGCCAGAATTCACCCCCACTCAACCAAAATTACCAAGCCGGTAGTTGGCCCAGCCCTTGCGGCAGGTTCCTTGAGGCTTTTTATAGGATCGGGGAGAGACCGCGTCCTCCAGCGCGACTTCTTCCAACTCTGGTTCGGAATTGTCTGGAAGCCAGGAGAGGGAGAGAGCCTGGAGCAGGGGTCCTGGGCGCAGGAGGAGGGACTGGAACTCCCGGGCGGGCGTGCGGGGGTCCCAGCCGCCCGCATTTCAGATGCAGCAGTCAGACGCAGGAGGCCCGAGGTTACCTGCTTCTCTCGGGGCCAGCAGGGGGCCGTGCTCGCCGCTGCCATCGCCGCCACAGCCCACGGTACCCGGTACACTGTGAGCCTCGGGGCGCAGATGCGCCTGTGGCACGGTCTCTTGGAGGAAAGGGTTTCCGCAGCCTGGGAGAAGGTGAAGCGAGTCAAGGCTAACGATCTGCAGGTTCGATCCTCCTCCTCACGGGCCTCCCACTACTCACTGAGCACCTCAACCTCCCTGCCGCCCAGGACTCAAACTCCATCCCACGGCTCCAACCGGCGCAGCCCTGCGACTTGAACGGTGCGCGCCCCCGGCCGCCGGCCCTGCGCTCACAGCTTCCCACACGGCGCGCCCCACCGCCCGTCCAAGCCTCAGCACTCCCCGGAAGCTCCTAGCTCCCACCCTCGAGCTCTGTCTGTCCAATCCCAGAACGCGCTCGCGCTGCATTCTCCAATGAAACCAGGCCCCGCCCAGAGTCTCCTAGGAGCCCCACCCACCCGCTTCAAGTCCGGACGGGCCCCGCCCCTTCAGGCCACTAGGCCCCGCCCCCGAGCTCCCATTGGCGCTCTTCCCGCAGATTGACGGCAGCGTCGAGCCGGGCCGGCCGTTCTCCTCACCGCGGTCACCCGGGAGGCGCTCCTCCCGCCGCCGGCCTCGCCGGTGCCGCAGCGAAGCGTCGGGGTTGGCCTGCACCATGAGGGGCTCTTGGCGCTTCCGTCGTTGTTTCTTCTCAAACAGCCGCCTCTGAGGGAACGGGAGCGAGAGAACCGAGGCCAGAATCAAATCAGACCAGAAGACCGGGGTGTGGGAGTGAGGGGCGGGAGCGGGCCAACCCTTCACCCTTCCCTGCTCGGCCCTCAGAGCTCCGCCCGCTTCTTGCAGGATCTAGGAGTCCTGACTGAGCAGAGGATCCTTCTGCCTCCGTCATTTGTGGTCTTGCTCAGCACCAGGCTTGGCATCTTTAGGTTCCCAAGTTTCGAGATTTTATTCCCGTTTGCAGCGGGGTGGGTGGTGTCTGAGAGAGGTGAGGAAGATGAAGGAGGGCAGGGGTGGGGCCGAGTACCTGCTGTTCCAGCTTCTGCAGCCTCAGAGCAGCGAGCTCATCCCCCAGGGTCCTGAGAGAAATGCAGGCTGTCTGGGGGCGAGCAGAGAAGCCCCTGCTGTCCCCGACCCCCTTCTGGGGTTCTGGCCACAGATGAGGTCACAGAACAGGCAGAAGTGGAGCTGTGACCCACCCAGCACTGGCGGCTCTTGGACCCCGAGGTCTCCCCTAGTAGCCAAGGTCCCTAACCTGCTAAGAGGCATGACCAAGCTTCAAAGGAACTCCCCTTCCGCCCGCACTCCCGACGCCTGGGTTCCCCACTCACCATTTTTATTTTACATACGCTATTCTCATGAGACACTCTGGGCCCAATCAGAATGGGGAATCAGAACCCAGAATCAACACCAGCTGCCCTCGACCCTCCAACACCCTGCAAGACTCCTACAGTAACCAGCTAACAGCAGCCTGCTTCCCAAACTTTGAGTGCTAGCTGGGGCCAAGCCATCCAATTCTCTTTACCCCAAAGACCGGCCCCTCCCGCACCCAGGCATGGGAATACTGGCATTTGGGATCCAAAGCCTGACAGCCCACCCGCCCCCGTGGCCGCCCCCACCTACCTGGGACTTTGAAGATCATCTTCCTCTTTCTCCAGGAGGGGCTGCTCACACTCACACACCTGTGTCCTGCCTCTGGAGCCCATCTTTAAACACACCTGATTCTCTCTGGGACCTGGGGACAAATTTCTGGGTCTCTGGGAAGTGGGTAGAAGAAAAAGGATCAAATAGGGGATCTGGGCTCCAGCACTCTCTCCTGCTCCCCTAAACTTCACTTTGAACAAAGCAGTGGCCAGCACTGCAGCCAGGCAACCAGCGGGGTTCTGGATCGGAACGGCATGCGGGCGTTCCTTAAAGGGATCCGAGGGAAGCAGCACGACGTTTCTCTCCACACATCTTTTAATTAGGAATTTACAAGGTGGGCAGGTAACTTCCAGGCACAATAAATAAGAAAACTACAACTCCCATGAAGCTAAGGGGCCAAAAAGTCAGCGGAAGTTAGCCAGCGCCTGCTGCTGGGCGTTGTAGTTTTGTTTGGTAAAAGTGGTCCTTCTGTTTTGCCTAAAGGGCAGCAACCAGAAGGAAGAGAAGTTTTCGGAAACAGGGGCGCAAGGGCAAGGGACAGGGGGCGGGGCCACCAGGCTGGAGGTGCGGGACTCGGAGCCAGCGTGGACCAATCAGGAGCCTGGGGGCGGGCGCTGCCCGGCGTGGGCGTGGCCTGGGTTCCCGGGCCGGAGGCCGAGGTCCTCAGCCGGGAGGACGCTGCGGTGGCCGGCGGGTGCAGGGGAGCGCCGGGCAGTGCGAGCCCGACCCCGCCGAGAACCGGCGTCTGCGAGTCTGAGGGGAGAAGGTACTGGGGGGCCAGGACGCTTGGGCGGCGGCGGAGGAGGGGAAGGCTGCAGGGGGGCCGGGGACCTTGCGTTCTGGTGATGGACGACACGCTTTGGGGACTGGATTCTTGGGGCGACGCTGGGGTGGGTGTGGGGGCCTGAGCCGCGAGTCTGATCGCTCTCCATTCTCTCTGCCGCAGACCTGAAGCCGCCATGGCGCGCTCAGGGCCCCGGGGAGCCCTTCTGCTCCTGCTCCGGCTGCTGCCGCTGCTGCGCGCCGTGGGCGCCGTGCCCCTGGATCGGGGGTCGCCCAGCCAGGACGAGAGCCCCGCCACCGAGAGCCCCGTGAGTGCGCCCTCTCCTCAGGGCACCCCAAAGGTTGTGCATGTCGCTTGCCTGTCGATCTTTGTAGCACTGAGGGTTTGACTCAGTGGAAAAGTGGGAGTACCCGTGCTCTGACGAGTGGAAAATCAGATCAGATTTTAAATTGAAAAAAAAAATCTGTATCTCTTTCCACCTCAACTGCTGCGTTTATTGGGGACCTTGCCGCCTTAGAAGGAGTGTGGAAACAAAAACTTCATTTCCCAGAATCCTGTAGCACAGGCGATGTTAGCTAGCTGAGGGCATTCATCCTTCCGACGCTCATGGGAGTTGTAGTTTGAAATCTAAAAGGGCATATGAGCTGTTTATTCTAACAGGCATTCAGCAAATCCTAAAACTTTTTTTTTAAAGGATTTATTTATTTTTTTATTGGAAAGGCAGATATACAGAGAGGAGGAGAGACAGAGAGGAAGATCTTCTGTCCATCAGTTTATTTCCCAAGCGGCCACAAAGGCTGGAATTGAGCCAATCTGAAACCAGGAGCGTCTTCTGGGTCTCCCACGTGGGTGCAGGGTCCCAGGGCTTTGCGCCGTCCTCCACTGCTTTCCCAGGCCACAGGCAGGGAGCTGGATGGGAAGTGAGGCTGCTGGGATTAGAACCGGCACCCATATGGGATCCTGGTGCGTTCAAGGCGAGGACTTTAAACGCTACACTATCGCGCTGGGCCCAAAACTTCTTTTAAAAACTGTTTTTTAAATACTGATTTGAGGGCCCGGCGCGGTGGCGCAAGTGGTTAAAGGTCCTCGCCTTGCACCCCCGGGATCCCATATGGGCGCCGGTTCTAATCCCGGCAGCCCCGCTTCCCTTCCAGCTCCCTGCTTGTGGCCTGGGAAAGCAGTCGAGGACGGCCCAAAGCTTTGGGACCCTGCACCCGCGTGGGAGACCCGGAAGAGGCTCCTGGCTTCGGATCGGCATAGCATCGACCGTTGCGCTCACTTGGGGAGTGAATCATCGGACGGAAGATCTTCCTCTCTGTCTCTCCTCTCTGTATATCCGCCTTTCCAATGAAAAAACAATAAAAATAAATCTTTAAAAAAAAAAAAAATAAATACTGATTTGAAGGGCAGAGTCAAACAGAGAGAACGACAAGGGGAGGGAACTTGAGAGAATTTTGTTTTGGTTCCGTCGCCAGTGGCCACAGCATCCTGGTGGCGACGACCCAGCATTTGGGCCATCTTCTGCTGCCTTCCCAGGTGCGCTGGCAGGGAGCTTCTTGGGAAGTGAAGCAGCCAGGACCTGAACCAGCACCCGTATGAATGCCAGTGTTACAGGCAACAGCTTCACCACCAGGCGGGTCTCCTGAGTAAGGGATTCGAGCCTCCCGGATTGTGGTGGCCGAGGGGAGGCCTGGCAGCGGTCCACTGTGGATACCTAGGGGTGGGCGTGCTGCTGGTGTTACGGATAGGAAGGAGGAGGCTCAGGGAGAGAAATGTGTCACCCAGGCATACACGGGAAAGAGGCCAGGGTCTCGGTCTTCCTCGTCTGCCGGCTTACGTAGGGCAGTGCCTGGGCTGGGGAGTGCATGGTGGAGAGGGGATGGCCAGTACCTGCCTTCCCTGCTTGTCCTTGGCGTCCTGCTCACGCACACAGTGCAAGCTGTATCCCTGCCAGCCATGTGGGAGGCCAGCGTTGCTGCCTCCTCGACCGGCAGACCCCAGCCCATGACCTGTGTCTTTGGCTGCTCGACTGGCAGCCCCCTAGCCCATGAGTCTAACACCTGTGTCACTGATGTCCCTGCCTCCTTAATCAGCAGCCCCCCAGCCCGTGACCTGCATCCCTGGCTGCTTGACCGGCAGCCCCCGCCCTGTGTTGGTCTCTAGCTGGTGGGTCAGCTGATGAGGACCCACAACAAAGCACAGATGAGTGAGTGACGTGGGGTTTCACTGCCGGCCCACGAGGCGCCCACTGCTGGGGGTGCTGAGCTGCACTGTCCCCCACGTGGTGCCCAGAGCCCTTCTGCTTAGGGCTTTGGAACACCAGGTGACAGCTGTGGCCCCCTGGGCGGCAGTTGGCTTAGGGTTACCCAGTAGGTGGAGCTTAGAACTGGGGTCTGCTGGCTGTAAAATGCTTATGCGTCGAGGTACACTGCCTGTTTCCCTCGCCCCTGGCTCGAGCTGTGCCAGTGCCCCGGCCACCCAGAGCAGCAGAGCATGACAGCATCTGTCCTTTCTGCCCAGGACACCGGCCTGTACTACCACCGGTACCTACAGGAAGTCATCAATGTGCTGGAGACGGACGGCCACTTCCGGGAGAAGCTGCAGGCAGCCAACGCCGAGGACATTAAGGTGCGGGTGCAAGGAGCAGGGCTCATCAGACGCGTTCCCAGAGCATTTGGCATGGGGCTGCCTCAGCATGATAGAGGCACTGGAATGCTAGATGTGCCGACCAACCCCCACATGGGGCCTTGAGCAGCCATGACTGGGCCCATTTCACAGAGGGGACACTGAGGCTGGGGCTGAGGATGCCATGCACATGCTGGGCTTGCTGCTGTTTGCCAGGGCCAGCTGTGTGGTCACCTTGTCCCACTGTGCTTATAAAGGTCACGCCCCTCTACAGTCGGGAGCGGGGGACATGGCTGGACATCCCAGGTGGTTGTCAGTGGGAGTTGTCATTGGGACAGCCCCAGAGTGACAAGAGAGAGAGGAAGGCTGGGGAGGGACACCCCGTGAGGGGGACTTCCTTGGGGGATGTCACATCAGATGGTAGGGACTGTCACTGCCTGCTGGGCTGAGGCAGGAGGTGGGACTCAAGGGGCCAGTGGTCAGCACGCTCGGGGGGGCGAGACTGTGAGCAGGAGAGCGGGACGGTTGGCTGTGGTTCACAAGTATACGTAACCCAAGGTACTCAGACAAAGCCTGGAAAGGGCAGGGCCCCCAGAATTCGTGGGAGGTGGGGGAGAGTCTGGGGGGATTCTACCCAAGCAAGTGCCAGCTGTCTCTAGGGCTCAAGGACAGTGAAGAAAATCTGGGCAGGCTTGCCCAGCGGGTGGCAGGAGAGAGCAGCCCAGGCTGGGGGGACGGCAGGTACAAAGGCCCTGAGGTGAGGAATGAAAGTGGCTGCAGCCCAGCGTGTGCCTGTGGAAGCCAAGGGCTTCGGCCTTGTTCTCCGCCCTCTACCTGCCTGGGCATCAGGAAGCTGGAGCAGAGACCAGGAGGAGCCTGCCCAGCCTCACCCATGGGCCTCCGATCCCCCTGCAGAGCGGGAAGCTGAGCCGAGAGCTGGACTTCGTCAGCCACCACGTCCGCACCAAGTTGGACGAGCTCAAGCGCCAGGAGGTGTCACGGCTGCGCATGCTGCTCAAAGCCAAGATGGACGCCGAGCAGGAGCCCAGTGAGTCTGCGCGGGGCAGGCGTGGCCCCCGGTGTCCGCAGGATGACAGAGAGAGCCTCAGTGTGCTGCTTCACTCCCAAAGTGGCTGCTACGCTGGGGCTCACCCAGGCCAAAGCCAGGAGATCCATCTGGGTCTCCCACGTGGCTGGCAGGGGCCCAGGGACTTGGACCGTCCTCTACTGCTCTCCCAGATGCATTCATGGGGAGATGCGTCGGCAGCCAAGTCACCAGGACTTGAGCTGGCGCCCCAGGTGGGATGTCATGGTCTTTTTTTAAGATTTATTTTATTTTTTATTGGAAAGGCAGATATACAGAGAGGAGGAGAGACAGAGAGGAAGATCTTGCATCCAATGATTCACTCCCCAAGTGGCTGCAACAGCTGGAGCTGAGCCAATCCAAAGCCAGGAGCCAGCAGCTTCTTCCAGGTCTTTCATATAGGTGCAGGGTCCCAAGGCTTTGGGCCGTCCTCGACTGCTTTCCCAGGCCACAAGCAGGGAGCTGGATGGGAAATGGAGCTGCCAGAATTAGAAGCAGCGACCATATGGGATCCCAGTGTGTTCAAGGCGAGGACTTTAGCCACTAGGGCACCGCGTCAGGCCTGATGTCATAGTCATTTTACCAGTTGTTTACAGTGTTTATTTATTTGAAAGACAGAGGCGCACATACACACAGCCAACTTCCTGCATGCCTACAATGGCCAGGATGGGGTCAGGCTGAGGCCAGGATCAGGAGGCTGGCAGAGACTCAAGTTCACGAACCATCCCTGCTGCCTCCCATGGGTCACGTTAGCCGGAAACTGAAACTGGATGTGTAGCTGGGATTTGAACCGTGTTCCTCTGATACAGCCTGTGGTTTCCCAGGCAGGGCATCAGCTGCTCCATCGAGTGCCTGCTCCTCAAGATGACGTATAAGCTGAGGTGCACGGAAGGGTTGATTCCTGACTTGCACGCGGCTCTGGGGCTGCGGAGTCTGGCCACAGGAGGCTGGGGGGCTGGCCTGCATGTGCCTAGCTTGCTGAATTTCCCTCCCCTTCATGGAAGTAGTTCTGATTCAACATGCATCTCCAAAACTGTGGTTTAGGTCTTAATTGCTCGACTATCTGAAAAAAATGTGCCTGGCAGTGAGTGGTCATTGTTGGGGCCTAACAAGTCAAGCGGCCAGTGCACCCACCCCTCAGGGTCCTGGCTGCGCTGCTTGCCATCCAACTCCTGGCCAAAGTGTCTGGGAAAGCAGCATCCAGCTCCCTGCCTGTGGCCTGGGAAAGCAGTCGAGGACGGCCCAAAGCCTTGGCACCCTGCACCCACGTGGGAGACCCAGAAGAGGCTCCTGGCTCCTAGTTTCGTATTGGCTCAGCTGCAACCATTGCGGCCGACTCCTCACCCCAAAGAGAAACCTTTAGCGACCCCCTCCCCTACTTCACTACCCACCCTCAGGGCTCAGGCAGCCTCTGGGCTACTTCATCTCACTGTGGATTTCCCTCAGTGGGCGAGGTGGACTTGCCTGAGCCATTTGCCCGTTGACCAGACGGTGCCACCTGGGCAGCCGCCCTGCCGTGACAGCCGTGGCCCTCGTGGCCGGAACTTTGTCCTTTAACCTGTTAGTTTCTTTGTGAGTCGGAAATCCTGTCTCTGCTTGCTTCCTGTCCTGCCCACAACCACTTTCTGTCTCGGCTTCCATTTTCACATCCCGAAATGGGCCTAATCAGAGACCCAGCGTTTTCACAGCATCGTAAAACGTGATGAAGGTGTCCAGGGCAGGGCCTGGCGTGTATGAGCCCTGAGGTCGTGCTGGTTATTGTGATAGCTCTTTTTTTCAAGTCTGAAGCCGGGCTCCAGGAGCTTCCTCCAGGTCTCCCGCATGGTGAGGGGCCCAAGCACTTGGGCCATCCTTCAGTGCTTTCCCAGGCACTTTGGCAGGGATCTGGATGGGAAGTGGAGCAGCCAGGACTTGAACCAGCTCCCAGAGGGAATGCCAGTGCTACAGTGCTGCATGCAGGCAGAGGCTCTGCTGCTGCACCCCACCGTCAGCCCCCAGAGGGGATGCTGAGGGAAGAGTGTTTGCGAGTCACGCCATCTGGCTCTTCCCTCCTCCCGTGCAGACGTGCAGGTGGACCACCTGGGCCTGCTGAGGCAGTTTGAGCACCTGGACCCCCAGAACCAGCACACATTCGAGGCCCGTGACCTGGAGCTGCTCATCCAGACGGTAACAGCAGGGGTCCGGGGTGCAGGGGGCTGAGGGCAGAATCCCGGATGGGAGCTGGTTCCCTACCGGCTGCCATTCCCTACAGCTGCTGGCGGCCTGAGGGTTTCTGGAATCTTCCTGCACTCTGAGAAAACGGGAGACATGGGCAGGTCGGGTGCAGGGTTCTGCTGAGAGGTGGCTGTACTGTTGCTGTGTCAGGGGGTCATCAGTGACTGCCCTTGATGGCTCACAGCCCTGCCACAGCCCCAGCACCCCTAGCTCAGCCCACTGCACAACCTGGCCTGGAAATCCTGTAGCTCCCTCTTGTGGCTCTAAAAGTCAATGACAGCCTGGGTCAGGCTGAGTCCTGTTTGTCTCTAAAACATTCCAGAACATTCCAGAAACTATCTGTTCCTCTCTGGCCCTAGTCATCACTCTTCACACTGAAAGACCCTCTTTCCAGGTCAAATCACTCCCCGAGGCTCCATGTGGACATATATTTTGGAGGGGACAATCCGCAATCCATTGTAGGGTGGTCATCTTCATTTTCCAGAGGGGGAAGCGAAAGCACAAGGAGGCTGAGTGACTGGCCCAGCATCATGCAGCTAGGGAAATCTGGACCTGACCTTGCACTCTGGAATTTATAGACCTCATGTTCCTGAGCAGCTTGGGCACTGTCCTCCATCCTGAGGCCAGTCTGTGTGTGTGTGTAAAAGATTTATTTGTTTCTTTGAAAGACGGAGTTACCGAAGCAGAGAGAGATCTTCCATCTAGTGGTTCACTCCCCCGCAGTCTGCAATAGCCAGACTGAAGCCAGGCACCTAGAACCCCATCAAATCTTCCATATGAGTGCAGGGGCCCAAGCGCTGTTGCCCATCCAGGCACATCAGCGGGGAGCTGGGTCGGAAGCAGGGCAGCTGGGACAGAGCCCAGAGCCCCAGTGAAGTGCCGCCGTCCCTCAGCCTAGTGGCCCTGCCCACCATGTGCTGGTCTTTTATTGCTTGTTCTTCCATCATCTTAAAGTAAAGAAAACGTGGGGGGGGGCAGGTTCATGTTGCTGCCTTTGTGAACCAAGACACACGGTGTGTTACGGGGTAAGAGCAATTAGAGAGAAAGAGCTAGTGAGCTCAGGGCATGGGACTTGGGACAGGTGAGCCTGCGGCTGCCCCTGGCCAGGTTCACCACCGAGGACCTACTGTCTGGAAGTGGGACTAGGAGCTGGGCCTGCCTCTCCCCCAGGCCACCCGGGACCTCGCCCAGTATGACGCAGCCCATCATGAGGAGTTCAAACGCTACGAGATGCTCAAGGAGCATGAGAGACGCCGCTACCTGGAGTCCCTGGGAGAGGAGCAGAGAAAGGAGGCAGAGAAGAAGCTGGAGGAGCAACAGCGCCGGCACCGAGAGCACCCCAAAGTCAACGTGCCTGTGAGGATGCCCCAGGGCCCACCTCCCCGCATGTCCAACTCTGACTGGAAAGTGGCTGAAGTACTACAACTCCCAGGAACACCCCAGGCACACAAGTGCCTGTTATCATACCCAGCTACTGTGGGGGCTGCTGGGTGTTGTAGTTTTCTTGGGTTCCTGGCTTAGGAATGCCTCTGGTTAGCTGGGAGTAGACTTCCGTGACTGGAGCCCCTGGCTCACCAGCGCCTGACTCTCCACAGGGCAGCCAAGCCCAGTTGAAGGAGGTGTGGGAGGAGCTGGACGGATTGGATCCCAACAGATTTAACCCCAAGACCTTCTTCATACTGCATGGTAAGATGGAGAGGAAGCCCAGACCAGGCTGAGCCCTCAAGCACTGGCCCTTCAGGCACCCAGAGACCGAGAGGGTGCTCCCTAACCCAGATCATGGAGCTGGATTATGTATTTCATGATAAAAAGTAAAGATTTATTTATGATTATTTGAAAGGCAGATTTATAGAGAGGAGAGAAAGATCTTCCATCCGCTGGTTCACTCCCCAGCTGGCCGCAATGGCTGTGGCTGGAGCTGATCCGAAGCCAAAAGCCTGGGGCTTCTTCCGGGTCTTTCACACAGGTGCAGGGTCCCAAGGCTTTGGGCCATCCTCGACTGCTTTCCCAGGCCACAAGCTGGGAGCTGGATGGGAAATGGGGCAACCAGGGCACAAACTGGTGCCCCTATGAGATCTGGTGCTTATAATGGAAAAATTAGCTAACTGAGCCATCCCGTCATGTCCAATTTAGAAAATAATACATTTATCTGAAAGGTAGAGTTATGGAGAAAGGGATTTTCTAGCCACTGTTCACTCCCTGAATGGCCACCATGGCTGTAGCTGGGCAGAACCCATGTGCGTGGGCCATCGTCTGCTGCTTTCCCAGGCGCATTAGCAGGGAGCTGGGTTGGTGATGGAGCATCCGGGACTTGGACCACTGTCTCTATGAGACACAGGTGTTGCAGGTAGAGGATTAGGGTGCCATGCCACCGGGCACAAAACTTACTGATCATTTCTCAGTGTGCAACTCCGGGTTTGGTGTGAGGATTACGTGTCCCCAGTCCCCAGGAATAGTTTCCTTTTGTAACTCTATTCCTGTGAAACAGCCCCCCCCCCCGCCACTCCCCACTCCTAGCAACCGTCTCGCTTTTCTCCAGTGACAATGAGAAGCCCAGGTAACTCATGTGTGTGACAAACTTCCCGCAGTGTCATGTGAGGAGTGGAGGCCTTCACTGTGTTCATGTCAGCTTCCATTCCTGTGGCGCCACTGGGACACCGGCTGCCATAGTGGCTGGCCCTGCAGGGACACCGCTGCCATGGTGGCTGGTCCTGTGGGGACACCAGCTGCCATGCTGGCTGGCAAGGCTGGCATGAGCTCATTTGAACAACGACCTGGGTGGAGCCAGGGGGCACGGAGTCTTGCAGATATTTGTTGGAGAAGTGTTGTAAATGGAGGGTACAGCAAGCTCTCTGCAAGGGTAGAAAATGTCCCTCCTCTGCCCTGCCCAGCGTGGCGGCCTCCAGCCCCCTGGGGCCCCTTCCTGGAGGCAGAGGATGCGTGGGCCTGCACAACCTAAGTTCAACTTCAGCCGCCCACTTGGCTCATGGCAACTGTACTGGGTCGTGCCGATCCAAAGGTAGGCTAGGAGGAGGCTTCCCTGGCTAACTCCCAGGCCTGAGGAAGAGGATGGTGCTGGCGAAGGCGCCCGCGGGCCGGGGAAGACAGAGGATGGGATACTGTTTTGGCCAAGGGCTGGAGCCCCTGGTGCTGCGTGACCAGGACCCAGGCTCGCTCCAGGACATGCCCACCGTCATGGGCGGGGACGCAAGGCTGAGCCCTGCACTCCCCCACCGAGCTCAGCACCAGCAACCTGTCCTCCCTGTGCTAGCACGCTGCACAAAATCCTGCCTCCTCTCTCCGGCCACGTGCATGCGGCCATCTGCCCCTGAGCGGTCTTGCTGTCCTTTCCTCCTCAGATATCAACAGCGACGGCGTCCTGGATGAGCAGGAGCTCGAGGCGCTTTTCACCAAGGAGGTGAGCACCCCGGGGGGCCACTACTGGCACCCCAATTCCCTTATCAATCCACTGAGATGCTAGCCTGCCGGGAGAACTACAACTCCCAGCAGGCCTCTGGGAGTGCCCCACAGGCTGCTGGGAGTTGAGGCTGTGGCTTGAAGTGGAGATGGAGTGAAGTGGTCCTGCTCAGGCTTCCCCGCCTCTGGTCTGACCCTGCAGCTGGAGAAGGTGTACGACCCCAAGAACGAAGAGGATGACATGCGTGAGATGGAGGAGGAGAGACTGCGCATGCGCGAGCACGTGATGAAGAATGTGCGCGGAGGGGCGTGGCCGTGGCGGGAGGGGCGTGGCTGGCTCCTCTCCTGACCCCGCTCTGTTGCCCCAGGTGGACACCAACCAGGACCGTCTGGTGACCCTGGAGGAGTTCCTCGCCTCCACGCAGAGAAAGGAGTTCGGGGACACGGCGGAGGGGTGGGAGGTGAGGACGTGGCGGATGCTCCGGGCGCCCACAGCTTCCTATTCCAGCCCTAACCTGCGTCCTCTGGGGCAGCAGGCCGCACTGGGCCTCAGCTGCTTCTCTTGTCCCCGCAGACAGTGGAGATGCACCCGGCCTATACGGAGGAGGAGCTGAGGCGCTTCGAGGAGGAGCTGGCGGCCCGCGAGGCTGAGCTGAACGCCAGGGCGCAACGGCTGAGCCAGGAGACCGAGGCCCTGGGGCGCTCCCAGGACCGCCTGGAGGCTCAGAAGAGAGAGCTGCAGCAGGTGCCAGCCGGCCGGGCAGGGAAGCCGCCACCTCGCCCACTGGGCTGTCGGGGTCTGGGATGCTCTGTGGCCTCCGGAGACTCCCCAGGGTGCCCATCTCGTTGGAGAAGAGCAAGGAAAGCTGGGCAGGGGGCAGAGGACAACAGGGCTCACTGAGGCCTTCCCTGTGGCCAGGTGCCCCCACCCCCCATCTATGGAGGCTGGCCTGGCTCTGTGGGGAGTAGCAGTCCAGAAGGGCAAATCTGAGGCCAGTAGAGGAAGGGCTGGCCCTGATACCGCTGTGGGCTTCTGGGACCCAGGCCTGGGCACCCGTGAAGGGGAGCATCACAACCCGAACCTCCTCCCCACAGGCCGTCCTGCATATGGAGCAGCGCAAGCAGCAGCAGGGACAGCAGCAGGGGCAGCAGCAGGGACAGCAACAGGGGCAGGACGGCAGCAGCCGGGCTCCCAACCCTGCAGCAGGGCAGCTCAAGTTCCTTCCTGAAACAGGTGCTGGCTCTGAGGGGCTGGGTGGACCCCTGGGTGTGAGGGAGGTGGGGCTGGGCTGGACCCCTGGGTGTGAGGGAGGAGGGGCTGGGTTGGACCCCAGGGTGTGAGGGAGGAGGGGCTGGACTGGACCCCTGGGTGTGGGGGAGGAGGGGCTAGGTGAGCAGCTGTGGAACTAGGAGCCAGTATCCTGCTCCCTCTGCAGATGATGCACCTGTGCCGGCTCCAGCTGGTGACCAGAAAGATGTAGACACATCAGAGAAGAAGGCCCCTGAACAGGCCACAGAGGCAGCCCGGCCTGACTCCCCGCCCCTGTGAGCCCTCAGGGATCCCAGCCCTTCACTCCTACAGAGCTCACCCATGGGAGGCAGAGGACGTGTGGTCATCAGCCTTGGCGGGAGCCAGCAGTTGGCACGGCCTCCTGGGGGTGGGCCATGCACTGGACGATCCCGCATAGCTGCCCGCCATGCCTACCCTGCCCACTCCACCGCCCAGTCCATCTCCGCTCCCTCGAGCCTGGCTCTTTGCTGCCGTGTGCTCCAAGCGGCCTGCCTTCTCCCACCTCAGTCCTGTCAGGTGCTCACAGCCTCAGCTTCCCTTAGGGAGCACCCCTCTCCCATGAGGGCCTGCTCCCAGCTGCCTACTGGAGGGTGAGGCTGGAGTGTGGCCTCTCCCGGAAGGCCCTTCTGCTGCTCCAGACTGGCTTCTGGTTTCTGGGAGTGAGGGTGCTCTCCTAGCCCCTTCCCAGTAAACCCCTGGAAGGCCAGCCCTGTCTTGGCCCCCAGGACCTCAACCTCGGCCTGGGAGAGGTCCTGAAGGCCAGCCCAGCCCTGGGTCCTGCTCCCTTCCATCCAAATACACTTTCTGGAACCCACACCTTCCTCTTGCCTGTGTGCATGCTGCCCCCTGTCCCCATGGCCCGAGCACCGAGCTGCCACCGCCGAACCCCAGTCCTGGGTTCTCCCACATGCATCCTCAGGGTGGCGACCTTCCACTGGAGGACAGAAAACCAAACCCTGAGCTTCAGTTTTTGGGGGAAAGGAGGCAGGTGGACGTTTGGCCGATGTTTGGCCTGCTTCCCTGTTGCACTCTGACCCGAGCCATTCCCATCGGAAGTGGAGCAGCTGGGACTGGAACCAGCACCCGTAGGGGATGCCTGTGTCACAGGCGGCTTTTACCACAGTGGCCAGCAATTTTAATGGTGGCTTTCTAAAATAACATGAAAGTCACAAGAGAACTCCTGAAGATTGCACAGCATGTTCCCACACTGCCTGGCTCTGCCTTCTGCCAGGGATGACGTAACCTCTGTGCTGTCAGCAGCCGGAAATAGATCCTGTCCTGGCATCCTAGCAATATGTCTCTTTTTTTTTTTCTTAAAGATTTATTTTATTTTTATTGGAAAGTTAGATATACAGAGAGGAGGTCTTCTATCCGATGATTCACTCCCCAAGTGGCCGCAATGGCAAGAGCAAAGCCGATCCAAAGACATGAGCTTCCTCCGGGTCTCCCACATGGGTGCAGCGTCCCAAAGCTTTGGGCCGTCTGCTTTCCCAGGCCATAAGCAGGGAACTGGATGGGAAGCGGGGCTGCCGGGATTAGAACCTGCGCCCATATGGGATCCTGGAATGTGCCAGGCGAGGACTTTGGCTGCTATGCTACCACACTGGGCCCCCATCCTGGCGGTATTTCATCAGATGTGGGGTCTTCTGGTGTCTTACCAACACTTTGGATGGGCCTGACTTGGGGTGCTGGCATTGTAGGGAGCTGCCTAGCTCACTGGACCATGACACTGGCCCAATTCCATAAATTTTAGCAGATGTGAAGGTTTGAGTGTTTATCAGCACAATAGGATGCAAGAGTTAAATAGATAATTAATAAAGAGATGGAGCTATCCCACCTGGACAGGCCCCAAGCAAAACACACCCGGCCCTGGGCATGGAACTTTTTGTTCCTTCTAGAATGTTCTAAATGGCTTCCAGTACTATGCAACCATTGCAGATTGTCCCGTACACCTGAGTTGTATTCGTAGGTCTGCTCTGTGCCCTGGCGTCTCTTCATTGGCAGTCTCAGCACCTTAAGTGACACTCGGGGTCTCCCCAGAATAATGCCGGCTACTTGGGAGCAGACCCTGTGGCCATGGGGACCCTCAAGCCACAGTGAAATGAGCCTAGGTTCGGTGACAATGAGGAGGAGGACATAAAAGATTTCAAAAACTTATCCTTGTATCCGAGGACCAAGGACAAGCTGGCATTGCAACAAAGTCAGGCAGCCAGTGATGGCAGAGCAAGTGGCAAGCCAGGTGGCAGTGACGACCTTTGACTGCGGTGTCCCAGTAACCAGTTATACTTGTGATTCCTGTTTTATCAGGCACCTATGCCTCTTCGTCCCTGACCTCAGGACTTTTATCTTTTTTTTTTTCCTCTTGTGTTTATTTTTTTAACCTAAATTGAAATGCTGGGAGCATCAAAGACTTATTAATTGTGCAAGGCAGAAATACAGTGAGAGGGAAGACAGGAAGCTCCCATCAGCTGGTTCACTCCCCTAGATGGTCACATACCAGCAGGAGCTGGCAACCCTGTCCTGGTCTCCCAAGCACTTGAACTAGGGGTGCTCTCAGTGACCCCTGCCTGTCGGTGAGATGGGACTGCGCCCGGATTACAGGGCTGGCGCGCGAGGTCAGAGCTGAGGATGGCCCGTGATGGCTTGGCTGCCTGGCGGTGCAGGTGACACAGTTAGCTCTCACGGTGGCCCTTCCAGTCACTCTCCTAAAGGAAACGAGGGGTGGCTGGGTCGGAAGGGGGCAAGGTCCCAAGAAAGTCCGGAGGGCAAAACAGTTGCCGAGATCACCTGGACGGGAGCGCACGGTGCGATAACCCCACTGTACCCAGGGACACACACCTCCAAGCTCCGCCCGCACTCCGCCTCCTCGCCGCGTGCTTCCAATGAGCTCGCGAGAACCCAACGCCCCTGCTCGGCCAGGCCAAAGAGAAGTGGTGGGCAGGGCGGCAGAGCCTCTCTCCGCGCGCCCCAGGAGCCGCTCCGACGCTCGCCCGCGCCTGGCGACCATGGCGCTGCGCTGGGGCATCGTGTCCGCCGGCCTCATCGCCGCCGACTTCGCCACCGTGCTGCAGGCGCTGCCCCGCTCCGAGCACCAGGTCCTCGCTCGCTCGCCGCGGTCTGCAGAGAGAGAGGGCTGGGGGAGGGCGGTCTGCGGACCCCTGGCTCTGGGGGTCCCCCAGGCGAGCGAACCCCTCCTCTGCAGCGCTCTCGGGGCGGGACTCCAGGAAGGGGGTCTTGGCCTTGAACTATTGCCTCCTGAGGGGCTTCGCAACGTAGAATTAGAAGCTGCTTGTTTTGCACTACGGCCCCCTCCCACCATTTTAGGTATTGATGATTGATTGGAAAGAGAACTCCGATCCGCTCCTTCACTCCCTAGATACTTGCAACGGCCTGGGCAGGCAGCGTGGGCAGCCGGGAACTTCACTCAGGTCTCCCCATGTGGATGGCAGGACAGTAGCGGACTTGGACCCAACGCTGTGTTAACCCCTGGCCGGGGCGTGCAGCTCTGGCTCACCTGCTCCCCTCTCCCACCACAGTCTGCTGCCTCCCCTTCTCCGGAAACCTCACCGCCCCCTCCTCCTGTGGCCCTGTCCTGCAGGTGGTGGCCGTGGCAGCCCGAGACCTGAGCCGAGCGAAGGAGTTTGCTCAGGCCCATGACATCCCGAAAGCCTATGGTTCCTATGAAGAGCTAGCCCGGGACCCCGACGTCGGTGAGTGCGAGGGTTGGGGGGGTCTGGCACCCCACCAGGCTAGGCCTCCTCCCACCCTGTGTCCTCACGGGCTCGGATCACACGGGGCAGACCCGCTGACCAGCTGCCCACTTCCTTCCCCACCCCCAGAGGTGGCCTACGTGGGCACCCAGCACCCCCAGCACAAGCCTGTGGTGCTGCTGCTCCTGGCGGCGGGCAAGGCTGTGCTGTGCGAGAAGCCCCTGGGCGTGAACGCTGCGGAGGTCCGAGAGATGGTGGCCGAGGCCCGGTCCCGAGGCCTCTTCCTCATGGAGGTAAGGGCGGAGGGGCCCTCACACAGCCTGGGGAGTGGGGCGGGGGGCATGGCTTTTGCAAGATTCCCAAAGAAAGGGGGCAATCCACATGGCTGCCAAGTGGGTTCACCTTGCTGGGGTTTGGGGGGAGATGCCAGTAGTGAAAGTGCCCCCAAAGGGCTATGGGTTTTGCTTTGGTGAATTTTTCTATCATGCACATTCACAGGGAGACAGGTTGGAAGTGGAACTAAAAAAAAAAAAAAGTGGAGCAGCAGGAACTAGAACTGGTGTCCAAGAGACTTCCAGCTATGAAGTCTTGCCTTGCCTCAGCGGCTCGTGCCACCGAATGGCACCTGGAAGCTATTTCGGTGCCAGGGATTCTTGCTGTGGATTCTGCCAGGAGTAACAATAGCTGCCATGTTGTGGCCTGGGTCTGGGCTAGCGCCCGTCGGGCGGTGGATGGCGGAGGCTCGTGCTGGTTTCTGGTCGCGCTGTGTCAGGGTCGGCATTCTCTCTGTTGGTCACCTCCTGGTTTGGGCCACTGTACCTGAGAGGAGCTGGGCACTCTGTGTGACACTTGCCAGCTCACTATTGTTCAGGTGGTGGCACCCAAGTCTGGTCAGAGCCTTAGACACTGGGCAGCTGTCACGGCCTCCGTGTGATTGCCCATGTCCTGTTTTCTCTCTGGTCTGCAGGCCATCTGGACTCGATTCTTTCCTGCCGTTGAGGCCCTGAGGTCCGTGTTGGCCCAAGGAGATCTGGGGGATCTTCGGGTGGCCCGGGCCGAGTTTGGGCTAAACATCACCCATGTGCCACGGGCCATAGACTGGGCGCAGGCTGGAGGCGCTCTGCTGGACGTGGGCATCTACTGCGTCCAGTTCCTCTCCATGGTCTTCCAGGGGCAGAAGCCAGAGAAGATCCTAGCAGTGGGGAGGCGCTATGAGACAGGTAGGGTGCTGAGGGGAGCCTTTGATGGGGGCGTCTCAGCTCCAGGCTTGCTGTGCTTAGGATCTCCTCTAGGGGGCAGTACAAGGGACGCTGCTGTGGGAAGCCCGGCATGGCCAGGCGCTGCCCAGGCGCTGCCCAGGCGCTTCGATGCTGCAGGCCAGCGGGCTTCTCCTCAGAGCCAGTGTGACTCCAGGGGTTTGGGGAGGGTTGCACACCCAGAGTTCGAGGCCTGGGCAATCTGAACCCAGAAACCCAGTCTGCCCTGTGACTGCCCTGCAGGTGTGGACGACACGGTAACAGTAATTCTCGAGTACCCAGGAGGGGTCCACGGCAGCTTCACTTGCAGCATCAGCTCCCAACTCTCCAACACGCTCACGGTGAATGGCACCAAAGGCAAGGCCCAGGTGAGGCGTGGCATCGTGGCCCCATGTGGCTGTGACAGCAGGACCAGTGTCTCGCTCACACCCAGGCCAGGGAATATGAGAGGGGCTCCTGTGTGAGGGTGAATCTTGCTTTAGCCAAAAGTCTGAGGGCACAGGGGGTAAGGGAGTTGGTGTCTGCAACAACACCAGCCAAACTTAAAGTACCTGTCTGAGTTCAAGTTCAGCTACTCTGGTCCTGGCCTGCCTGGGCAGGCAGTAAACTGCTGGCCCGAGTTCTTGGACCCTGCCATCCAAGTGGGAGACCCCGACGGAGTTCCCACCCCTGACCGTGGCCCTGGCTCAGTCCTGGCCACTGTGGGAGTTTGGGGAGTGGAATAGTAGATCTCTCTCCCTTTCTTTCTCTGTCACGGTTTCAAGTAAATAGATAAATCTTAATATAAACATATATATTTTTTAAAAAGATTTATTTATTTTCATCTGAAAGGCAGATTTTACAGAGAGAGAGAAGGTAAGAGAAGATCTTTGTCCACTGGTTCACTCCCCAAATGGTTGCAACAGCTGAGTCTGACTGATCAGAGCTTCTTCTAGGTCCCCATGTGAGTACAGGGTCCCAAGGCTTTGGGCTGTCCTCGATTGCTTTCCCAGACCACGATGGGAGCTGGATGAGAAGTGGAACAGCCAGGAATGAAACCAATGCCCATATGGGATCTTGGTGCCACACGCTGGATGACTAGCCTGCTGCATTAGCACCTGGGCCCCAAGCACAAGTTGATTTAAGAAATAAGCCCAGGCCCACACGACAGCCAAGCAGCTAAAGTTCTCACCTTGCACACGCCAGGGTCCTATGGGGCACCGGTACTAATCCCAGCTGCGCCACTTCCCATCCAGCTCCCTGCCTGTGGCCTGGGAAAGCAGTGGAGGACGGCCCAAAGCCTTGGGACCCTGCACCTGCATGGGAGACCCAGAAGAAGCTCCTGGCTCCTGGCTTCGGATCAGCACAGCTCCGGCTGTTACTGACACTTGGGGAATGAGCCAGCACTTGGAAGATCTTCTTCTCTGTCCTCCTCTCTGTATATCTGACTTTCCAATAAAAATATAATAAAAGAAAATAAAAGAATCCCTCAGGTCCAAGAAGAATCAGTTCGTACCAGGCACACTTAGCAAGTATGACCTTTGACCTCACCTCCCAAGGCGAATCAAGATCCCCTTTTACTGCAATAAAATTTGTTCTTATTTACCAGGTCATAGGAGAATTTGGAACTTTCCCTGATTTGTTTTTCAATTTTCAGTTTCTTGTTTATTAGAGAGACACAGAGTCAGTTTCCATGTGCTGGTTCACTCCACAAATGGCTGCAGTGGCTGGCACTTGGCCAGGTTAGAGCCAGGGCCGGTAGCTCCATCTGGGGACCCGACCATGTGGACCTTCACCCGTCCACTCGGGTGAGTGTCAGCAACAAGGCAGCGTGCAGAACCCAGGCACCGTGTGATGTAGGACATGGCAGCTTTTTAAAAGATTTTCATGTATTAAAGAAAAAGGGCCTGGCACAACGGCTCAACTGGTTAACTCCATATGAGTGCCAATTTGTGTCCCAGCTGCCCTACTTCCCGTATAGCCCTGCTCGAGGCCTGGGAAAGCAGAGGGGAAGATGGCCCAAAACCTTGGACCCTGTGTCTGCATGGGAGACTTGAAGGCGTTCTTAGCTTCAGATCAACTCAGTTGATTGTGGCCAGTTGGGGAGTGAACCAATTAATGAAGAAAGGGGAGAGAGAGAGAAACAGAGAGAAAGAGATTTCACCCACTGGTTCACTCCCCCACTGACTGCAACGGCTAGGCCTGGGTCATTCTGAAGCCAGAAGTCAGGCCGTCCATTCAGGTCTCTCATATGCATGCAGGGGTCCAAGCACTCGGGCCAGCATATGCTGTGTTCCCAAGTGCATTAGCAGGGAGCTGGGCCGTAAGTGGAGTAGCCTGGACTTGAACCATTGCTCTGCTGTGGGATGCCAGCATGACAAGTGGTGACATATCCCAACGCGCCTCTGGACTGGCTCCTGTCCTGCTGTATTTCTCTGTGTTTTGTCCTAGAAGGGGACAGTTGAGGGGTCCCAGGAACCCAGAGCTGAGGGACTGCTCCTGACAGTTTGGGAGGTGCTCAATACCCTAAGCAACCTCCTCTTTTTTTCTTTTAAGATTTATTTATTTGTATTAGAAAGTCAGATATACAGAGAGGAAGATCTTCCGTCCAATGGTTCACTCCCCAAGGGGCCACAATAGTTAGAGCTGAGCCAATTCAAAGCCAGGAGCCCGGAGCCTCTTCCAGTTCTCTCACACAAGTGCAGGGTCCTATGGCTTTGGGCCATCCTTGACTGCTTTCCCCGGCCACAAGCAGGGAGCTGGATAGGAAGTGGGGTTGCCAGGATTAGAACCGGTGCCTATATGGGATCCTGCCAGTAGGCTACTGCGCCGCCGGCCTGAGCAACCTCCTGTTAAAGATTTCCACACACCTGAGATGCCCTGGGCTCCAGGCCTGGGGCTGTTGTGTTCTCTGGCAACAGGTAGGGAGAGCTTTGGTCTTGGGGGCCAGGATGTTATTGTCACTTTTGAGAGTCTACAGAGTAAACCCCCCAAGGTGGGGGTGTGGACCTGGAACGGCAAGGGAGTCCCAGAGCACCTGCAACAGAATGTTCTAGGGCCATTGTCCTGTGTCCCTTCAGCTCCTGGAACCCTGCTGGTGCCCAACAGAGCTGGTGGTGAACCAGGAACGGAAAGAGTTCCCGTTGCCCCAGGCACAGAACAAGAAATTCAATTTTCCAAATGGGGCAGGCTTGACATATGAGGCCAAGCACGTCCGGGAGTGCCTACGCAAAGGTAAGGATACAGAAGATGGGGGACAGGCTTGGCCTGGCCTGGGGATAAAGGACTCCTTACCCCACCCGCCCATTGCTCAAGCCGCTGTTAAGAACTACATATCCCAGGATCCCCACGGCATGCATCTGCCTGCGCCCAGTATTACTGTGCCCTGGGGAATTATGGGAATTGTAGTTCTTTTTGGCAGTGGTGAAGTAGCTGTGTTCCTAAGTGTAGTCTCTCCACAGGTTTGAAGGAAAGTCCTGTAGTTCCTCTGGCGGAGAGTCAGCTCCTGGCTGACATCCTGGAGGAGGTGAGGAAGGCCGTGGGCGTGACCTACCCCCAGGACAAACGCTGATGTATGCCCTGAATAAACAGACTTGGCTTTCCCAGAGATGTGACATTTTGGTGGTTTATGTGGAGCTGACAAGCCCTCACTATGGTCCCTGGAGAATGACTTGGGCGGGAATTCGTTCCGTGACCACATCCCCTCCCAGAGCAGGTGGGACTCGAACCCAGGCTCTGGGGTGGCATGCCCGTGTCACAGACTGTGGCTTAACGCGCTGGGGCTGCAGGACGGACGACGAGGGCGTTCTCACGTCTGGTCTCACACCAAAGAAGGTCCAGCCACGTGGGAAACCTGCGGCCACGGTCAGGCGAGGTCCTCCCCACACGGGGTGGCCACAGCAGTGGGCCAGTGCCTGCGCTTTTATAGAGTGGTTGACTCTGATTGGCCCCTTTCTGAAAAGTGATTGCAGGTTTAGCCAATCAGGGGAGGGACAGAGCGACAACCAATCAGGAGGTCAGAATCTCAGGATTGCGAGAGTCCCCGCACCATCTTGGATGTGGCATCTTGCCTGTTGTCCACAGTTTTGGTCTTGGCGTTGAGTTTCTGAAAAGCGTTTTTTCTCGCTCTGTGCGTGCAGGGCGTGGGGTGCACGGGAATCCCTCTCCTCCCTTCTGGGAGGACACACCCTCAGGGTGCTGGGGGGCTTGAGGGCTGGACCCACAGGCCCAGACAGAGCCACGAGCTGGCCTTCCTTCTCACGGAGCCACTTGGTTCTCCAAAGCCACAAGCTGTTGGAAATTCAGGACAAAGAAAAACAAAGGAAAAGAAAAGAAACACCTCCTCTGGCCTGGGAGAGCAGAGTCGCTGGACACAAGCGTAGGATGGAACTCCCAGTGCATCGGGCGTGTCCCCGGGACCGACCACTCTTGAATGTCGCTGCTTCTTTTCTGCCCGCGCCCTGCTGAGCTTCACCCAGCGCTTCGCTGTCGTCCCTTGGTCGGAATTCACGGTCCCCGCAAGGTGCCTGTGGCTGGACTCCCATTGCTAAGGAGCTGGACTCGGGCCGCAGGACGGACACAGCCAGCCCCGACGGGAGGTGCTGATTGGACCAGCCCGTGACAGGCCCCGCCCCGCGCCGTCACGCGACCCGCCGGCCCTGCGGGGCAGCGGCCATTTTGCGGGGCGGCCACGTGAGGGGCGCACGTTCAGCGGGTCGCTCACGTGACTCGGGGCGCGCTGCGGCCGCCCGGGCGGACCCGGCGAGAGGCGGCGGCGGCGGGAGCGGCGGTGATGGACGGGTCCGGGGAGCAGCCCAGAGGCGGGGGTGAGGCGGGAGGCCGCCGGAGGGGAGGAGGGCGAGTCCCGCTGCCGGCCAGCGCCGGGATCCGTCCTGCGGGCCCGGGACCGTGCGATCTCCAAGCACTCCGGGTGGGGGGGAGGGCAGAGACTCCGGGATCGGGCGCTGCCCCCTTCTCCAGTCCCACACCCTGCTTGGAGGTTCCCGGCTCTCTGGCCTCCACGCCCCCCCATCCCTTCCTGCTTGGGTTCTCGGGGCTCCTGATAACTTGGGGATCCCGGAACCCAAACTCCCGGGCAGGCCCGGGCTTGTCGCCGGCACCACTTCCTGCCTCCGACCCTGATGGGAGGAGCGGCCCTCATCTCGGAGGCCCCTCGCCCCCGTTCTGATCAGGGGTCCCCGTGCATCACCGCGTTCTGTCAGCCTCCCCTCCCGGAAGAGTGTAGGATGCAGGCCCAGGCTTCCAGCCCCTCCCAGCCTCAGGTGCCTGGACTGCTGGTTGCTCTGCCCAGCATGGGAGCAGGCCACCCCCAGCCCCAGCAGCGTCCTCCCCCTCCAGGACCCCGGCGTCCAGGCGCCTCCTCCCATCTTTCTCCTCTAGGGCCCACCAGCTCTGAGCAGATCATGAACACAGGTGCCCTCTTACTTCAGGGGTGAGTTGGAGTCTGATTCTTGTGCCTCAGAGTTCGAGGAAGGATACCCCCTCCTGATTCTGCACCCCGACTCCGTCCCCACTCTAGTTTCATCCACGACCGGGCGGTCCGAATGGGGGGTCAGATCCCTGAGCTGCCCTTGGAGCAGGTGCCCCCGGATGAGTCCACCAAGAGACTGAGCGAGTGTCTGAAACGCATCGGGGACGAACTGGACAGTAATGTGGAACTGCAGAGGTGCGCACCCCTGGGCTGTGTGTGGGGGGAACCCAGGAACCCCAGCCCCACCCCTTGGGGAGCCACGAGTCACAGCAGGGTTTTGAAGCCCTCCCGGGTACCCTGGTAGGCTGTCCACTCCTCAAGGGAAGTGTGCCCCTTGGGTCTCTCTGCCTGCCCACCCGTGAATCTGGGTGGATCCACTTGACTCCCCCACTTCTCTCTCCTGCAGGATGATCGCAGCTGTGGACACGGACTCCCCCCGAGAGGTCTTTTTCCGAGTGGCAGCCGACATGTTTGCCGATGGCCACTTCAACTGGGGCCGGATTGTCGCCCTTTTTTACTTTGCTACCAAACTGGTGCTGAAGGTGGGCAGTGAGCCAGGAGGCGTGCTCCCCTAACCTGTGCAGACCACCACGCCGAGGGCACTGCCCACTGTGGCCTGGGCGTCCACCTCATCCTTCCCACACATGTGTGCCAGGCCCTGTCTGCACACCCAGAACCCAGCACTGACACAAGGGGTGTTCCCTGGTACAAACAATGACATGACGTCACAGGGGCCTGTGTGGCTGAGCTCAGGGTCAGGAGACTTCTAAGAGGTGACATGAATGACAGCGATGTGTGTGACCTACAGCCACGGGGAGGGGGCAGCGTGTGAGAGAGGGGCAAGTGCGGGGGCCGTGGCGTGGGACGGGCAGCCGGGCAGCCAGTGTGATTAGAACAAGGACAAGTTGAGACATGAGGGCAGGGTCGGGTGGTGTGGGGCCCTGTGTGCCAGGGGAAGGAGGGACAAGGACGACAGGCCACCTCGGACGGAGCGGCTGGATCGTTTATTTTGTCCGAAGCTTTTATTAATTTTGATTTTACTTGAAAGGCAAAGAGAGAGAAAGATCATCTACCTGTTGGATTGTTCCCCAAATGCCCAGAATAGCCAGGCTGGGCCATGCCAAACCTAGGAGTTGGTATGTTCACCATGTCCCCCTCATGGGGGTGCAGGGCCCCAAGCTTTGCAGCCATCAGCTGCTGCTCCCTGGGATGCATATTAACTGAGAACTCTGACCGAGAGCGGTGCAAGGATGCGAAGCTTGGCCTTCAGATAGGGAAGGCAGGCCTCTCGGGCAGTCGCTGCGTTTTTGTTGTTGTTGTTAAGGTTTATTGAGAAGCTGGTGTGGTGGCACAGCAAGCTAATCCTCCACTCCGTGGCACCAGCATCCCATATGGGTACCATTTTGTGTCCTGGCCTGGGAAAGCAGGAGAGGATGGCCCAAAACATTGGGACCCAGCACCTGAAAGGGGCTTCTGGCTCCCGATCAGCTCAGCTTGGGCCCTCATGGCCATCTGGGGAGTGAACCAGTGGATAGAAGCTCCTTTCTGTACATCTGCTTTTCCAATAAAAATATGTATGTAAAAAATGCACTTGTTTCAAAGGCAGAGTTAACAGAGGAGACAGGGATCTTCTCTCTGCTCGTTCACTCCCCAGATCGCCGTGACTGCTGTGGCTGGCCCAGACAGGAGCCAGGGGCTCCAGCCAGCGCACACACCAGGGCTCAGTCGGTTGCCTTTAGTTCACCCACTGTGCCACAGCCCCAGACAGGCAAGCAGCACCTTCACCCTGTGCTCAACACCTGCCCCTCATTCACGACTGAGAAGTTTACCCTAGCCAGTACAGCACGTGTGACTGCTCCCCCGGAATTTCTCTATGAAGAATCTCACAAGGAGACAGGCCGGGACTGACCAAGAAGTTATCCTGGTAGTTGTGGGGCTGGAAGGGGCTGAGGGGCACAGAGCGGGCACGACGGTAATGGTGACTGGGGCCTCCCTCGGGCCTGGGGAGATGTGGCTTTCCAGCTGATGGGGCTTACATCTGAAGGAGAATGCTAGGAGTTGACCTCAGGGCAGCTATGGGGGCGGGGGGGGGGTTGGAAAAGCAGCCAGAATCCTGGGAAGGAGAGGTTGTGGGGGTAGACAGTGCAGATGCTGCTGGTCAGCTGGCCTGCTGGGGTCGGGATGACACCCGACTGGGGGTTCCAGCGCGAGGGAGACTCCTGGGCCAGGTGAGGTGCAGAGGGAGGATTTGTGGCTCTGAAGAGAGATCAGTGTGGTCCAGCAGAGAACTGGAACAAAATGAAGTGGCAGAGTTCACCAGGGCTGGGCCGTGCCAGGCTCCGTGCCAGAGGCTCCTGCACAGCCTACTGACTGGCCGCGGGCAGCCAAGGAGCCCCAGAGAGAGGCAGGGAGTGGAGGGCGTGGGCAGGGAGGCGCAGGCTGTCCCTGACCCCTCCTCCCTCCTCCCACAGGCCTTGTGCACGAAGGTGCCTGAGCTCATCAGAACCATTATGGGATGGACGTTGGACTTCCTCCGAGAGCGGCTGCTGGGCTGGATCCAAGAGCAGGGGGGCTGGGTGAGACTTCCACCCCGCCCCCTCACCTGTTGATCTGGTCCCTTAGGGGTCTAATCTGCTGGCCCCTGACCCCCCTACTTCCTGGGAGGAGTAACTGTCCCCGCCTTCCCTGTGACTTTCCCCTTGCCTGGCCCCCAGGAGCTGCCCCCCTGCCCCGCACTCCCCCCCTGCTGACGCGGCCGCTGCCTTCCGTCCACAGGATGGCCTGCTCTCCTATTTCGGGACCCCGACGTGGCAGACGCTGGCCATCCTGGGGGCTGCGGTGCTCACTGCCTCACTTACCATCTGGAAGAAGATGGGCTGAGGCCCCCCACGGCCTTGGACTGTGTCTTTTCTGCATAAATTATGGTGTTTTCCTGGGAGGAGTGGGGGGGGGTTGGGGACGTGGGCAGTTTTCTTACTTTTGTAATTATTGGGGGGGGACTATGGGTGGGGAGGGTGGTCCAGGAGGGAACAATAAAACTCCTTTGGGCCACACTGCAGAGTCTCAAGTCACTGGCAGCCGGCTGATAGCCCAGTCACCCTGCCAGGGTCCACAGCGTTGCCTGCTCCCTGGTTTTGTGGGGGTGCCCAGTGTTGTCTGTGGGCTAAGAATGAGCCTGGCCCGGGGCTGGCAGCTGACGTGGGGGGCGTTGCCATGGCAGGAGAAGACAGCAGCCCACACAGCAACATCCCAAATTTCCAGCTTACTGAGGTGGACGGGAGAGCAGGGGGATTTGGGACCCAGGCTGGGGCAGAGGGGGGAGGGAAGGCAGGGCTATTGAGAGACCAGGAGGGGGTGACCAGGCCACCTGGGACAAGTCATCCTCCTCTGCTGCCTGTGAGCCCCTTCCAAGCTGTGAGGGCCTTTGGGAGAAACCTGCAGGGACGCCCACCCTGTGTGTCTGCCACCTGCCATCCTGGCTCCATTTCCAATACCTGGGGAAGCTGCAGGTGCAGCTGCCCCGCCCCCTCCTTCAGCCTGGGTGGGTGGGAGGACTATGAGTTCCCAGCTTCCCACTAGGGGCGGCCCGGCCCTGACTATGGCAGGGATCTGGGAATAAAACACATAAAAGGATTAACGATGCTGCTCTCACTAAAATAAAATGAAAGTCACTCCTTCAAAGGTGGGTCTTACCTGAGGCTAAAGGTCTTTAGGCTCAAGTATAAAATGTGGTGAATGAGTAACTCCAGAGTCAACCAGGGCCCCAGGCGCCTGCCCCTCCCCCTGCACAGCGTCCTCGGCCAGGCCACCACTCAGGGAGGGCGGACCAGGGGGACAGAAGCAGAACCCCGGAGAAACTCGCACCCTCGTTCCCATGCACAAACGGGGTTCTGACGAGGAACCCCACTTTCGAGGAGAGAAACCAGCCTGGGATCTCTGACACCTAGATCCTAAGCCACAGCTGCCCTGCCCCCTTCCCTCATCTGCTTCCCCCTCCCCTGGTGCTGAGGTCAGCATGACTCAGCACTTTGTGGCATGGTCAACAGCCTAGGCCTGAGGACCACACAAGTCACGTCCCACCAACCAGGGGTCCTCTCTGTTTGCAGGGGCCCTTAATAGAACAGGTGCTGACCCCGGGCCCTTGGCCCCAGACTCCCCCGCTGCTTTGAAGTAGGGTCCAGTTCCTGTCTCATCTCTTCCTCATCTCCCCCTAAAGATCAGGGGCTCCTTGGGGTCAGGGAACTGGCTGGAGGCAGCTGGCATACTTAAAGACTGCATCCTCTGAATAGATACACATCCCAAGCCTGCAAAAACAGCCCCCCACTTCCCAAAGTGACCCTGCCCCCAAGCTCCAGCTCACAACATTCCTCTCCATCTGAGGCACTGAACAAATTGCAAAGAATCCCAAGCAGCCCAGAGTTCAGAGTGCTGTAAGGGGGCTGCCTCGGCTTTCCCAGGCTCCTTGCCTCTTTCCCCACCCCCACTCCCACATGCACACCCTTGGCCCCTACCCCCCAGACCCAGACAAGCCCCTTCCAACTTGCACATCATCTGAGGCCCCTAACAGCTTCCCCTGGCTTGTGGGAAACTGCAAGAAATATACACTTGCTATGCAGAACCCCACCCACCTTATACCCACTCCTAAACCCCAGGGCCCCCCTCTCCCCAGACGATCTGCACCCCATAGCCTGCCCGCTCCACTTCCTTCAGATCTGGAGACTCCTTATCTCGTTAAACAGCCTCTTAGCAACAGGTGGTCCTCTCTGCACTCGGAGGCGACCCCCCAGCGCACACCCAGAGTTCCAGAAAGGTCCCTATTGCTAAAAAAACCAATTCAGAGTCCTATGTTCCTGAAGTAGCTTCAGGACCACGGGGTCATCGCTTCCCAAGGGTTCCCAGGGCACCCACAAATCTCTCACCTCGCGGAGAGACCCTCAGAATCCCACGACTTCCCAGAACCAGCCATAGGATCCCACCCCCGCCCCCATTCTCCATTTCACAACACTCTGGCGCCACAGGCGCGTGACTTCCCCACCCCAGGGTGGGGACTGAGACCCTCTCTGCTCGTGATTGGCCAGCAGCCCCCTCTCCCCAAGCCCAGATTGGCGGATCCTCCGTCCTGCGTGTCCCGCCCCCGGCGGCCAGGGCGCTATAAAAGAGGCCGCCCAGCCGCAGGCAGCAGCGACGCGCCGGGAGACCCGCGGACCTGTGTCTTGCTTCAACAGTGTTTGAACGGAACAGGCCCGGGGACTCTCTTTCACCGACTTCGACCGCCTTCCCATCTCTCCTCCAGTTTACAGCCTCTGGGACCACTCGTCGGCCATCTCCACCTCCTCCAACACCGTTTTTTGGGGTCATCTCCTTGATCGCCGAACAACCATGACCTCCCAGATTCGTCAGAATTATTCCACCGAGGTGGAGGCTGCCGTCAACCGCCTGGTCAATCTGCACCTGCGGGCCTCCTACACCTACCTCTCTCTGGTGAGGGTCCTGGGGGACACCCCGACCCCCCCCCCATTACGGCTCTGCGCACGCGCGGGCCGTCTTTTGTCCCGCTGCGCAATCCTCACGCTAACGGTTTTCCTTCCCTTTCTCCCTGCAGGGCTACTATTTCGACCGCGATGATGTGGCTCTGGAGGGCGTGGGCCACTTCTTCCGCGAGCTGGCAGATGAAAAGCGTGAGGGCGCCGAGCGCCTTTTGAAGATGCAAAACCAACGTGGCGGCCGCGCCCTGTTCCAGGATGTGCAGGTAGCCACTGGGAGCGCGGCGGACTACATCTCCCAAAAGGCTGCGCGCGCCCAGAGCTCTGGTCGAAAGCCGTCTGCATGCCGCGAGGCCTCCTGGGAGATTGAGTTCACTCCTGTGCTGGGTTGGAAAAGCTGGCGCACGTAGTTAACTTGGGCGGTGCGAACCGCCATGCGATCTGCACACGTCATTGACGGAGACCAGGCGGGGCGGAGGCAAACTCTGACCAAGTGCACCGCTAGGTCTCTGGCCCCAGATGGCTGCTGGGAAATGTAGTTTTTGTCCTTCATGGTGGGGGGCGGTGCCGGCTAGTCTGAATCCTTTGTCTCTCCTGTAGAAGCCGCCCCAAGATGAGTGGGGCAAAACCCAGGATGCCTTGGAAGCCGCCTTGGGTCTGGAGAAGAACCTGAACCAGGCCCTTCTGGAACTGCATGCCTTGGGTTCTGCCCACACCGACCCTCATGTAAGTCCCCCCCCCCACCTCCGCAGCTGCAGCCCCTTCGTGCATTGAGGCTCATTTCCTGCCGAGCTGTATTCCCCCGCCTGCCTTTCGGAGGGATTGGGTTTATCGAAGCCTCTTCTTCCTCAGCTCTGTGACTTCCTGGAGAACCACTTCCTTGACGAGGAGGTCAAACTCCTCAAGAAGATGGGTGACCACCTGACCAACATCCGCAGAGTGACCGCCCCCCAGGGAGCCCAGGCTGGACTGGGCGAGTACCTCTTCGAAAGGCTCACTCTGAAGCACGACTAGGGGCGGCGGAGCCCAGCAGCCACGGGCGGCTCCCCTGCATCTCTGGTATCCCAATTTGTGCCTAACCATCCCGGCCAGCCACTAGGCAGCTTGTTAACAGCCCCCAGAGCCCTCTCTTAAACCGTGGACCAAATCGAAATAAAAGTTTTTGCTGCAACTTGAGTTGGTGTGTGGGTGTACTCTGGAAAATGAGGAGGGCCTTGCAACCGTGGGCTGCCTTTGCCCTTGGGGTCTCTGCTTGGACTGGCTCCTGGCTGCCCTTGAAGGGCTTGCCTGGCTTGGGAGCTGGAAATGGAAGCTGTGAGGTCTAAACAAGCAGAGTTCGGAGGGGTCAGGCAGCGTGCCAAGTTAGGGGGAAAGGCAAATGGTATCAGTGACCTTCTGACTGCTTGGCTCATGGCCTGGCCTTGGCAGTGGGTGCCACGTCCAGATCTGTCCTCCAAGGCCCATTACTCTTTTAGGAAATGGGGGCCCGTGTTGCCAGGGGAGGGATGGGTCAGGTGGATTGGCACAGTGCATGTGATGCTCCATGAGGTGCCAGTTTCCCATTTTAGCCTGAGCGGAGCCCGGATGTGACACCAGGGCCAGCTTCCCCCAAGGGGAACTGGAGCTGCCTGCAGCTGGGCCAGCCCCCTCTCCACTTGGGCTTTGTGGAAAATGAGGAAGCTCACTGACTGTGGACTCCTGCTCGTTTGCCAGCTCAGCACCAGGGCCCTTCCTGGCAAGGCACTCGGGATTCCGAGAAGGGGGCTTTTGTGTGTCGCCCACACACAGTGTCTTAAGCGGAAGGATTGGGACACATCCCAGCAACCTGCTTTCTCATCCCCTGAGCAGCAATGGGCTCCGAGTTGCACTTGTGGTCTGGTAAGGACTGGGGCTGGAAATAAACTAAAGATTTTTCTCAGGGAAAAACAAACAAACAAATAAAAAGTTGGATCCGTGCAGTGCAGAGGACAAGATCAGAATCCAGGTAATGAGCTTGAGGGCGGTTCCATTTGTTGCCATGTCTGGTGAGATGGCCATTAGTCAGACACAGTAGTGATGGCGCCTGCCAATGGCTCGAGCCATGGGCAAGCTGCATTTCAGTGGCTACCTCCTGGCCACATAGCCCCTTGGTGCCGGAGACTGCCTCCACCACATGGTGGCCACTTGGTCAATCAAGCACCAGTAAGGCACGAGTGCTTCTGTGAACTGGACACTTGTGGCAGTGTGATCTGCGTCCCCAGGACAGCACCAGTAGCAAAGGGAGCAGGGATGAGCGGTCATGGGCGGGCCCATCCAGCGTTGACAGCTGAACACAGCCGGGACTCTTAAATAGAGCTGTATTTTCTCGTGTGGATGCACTTCAGTCACACCCCTGCTCTGTTGCCCTCCCCTCCCTCTCCTCCTGCAAACAGAGTGTCAGACAGTACAGCACACGTGAGGGCCCTTCCTATGGCACCACATCGCGGGGGAAGAGGGGCGCAGGGCACACAGCCCGGGGACGGAAGAGCCTCAAGGTACACGGTGGATACTTCTAGAACCCAGGGCACCTGGGTGCAGCACAGTGGTGAGGGTCCAGCGTTGGCAGCAGACCTGGAAGCCAATGGTTTCAAGGCGGCTGAGTGGTGAGTGAAGGGGTGGGGCGGGGAGAGGCGGGCAGGGGAGCCAGCCAGCCCACCAGTCCTGGCTGTGCCCAGCGAGGGTCTCCCTGGAAGGCACAGGAGTGTAGGAAGGGGAGGGATCTGGTCGGGAAGGGCCAGAAAGGCAACAAAGTGTCAGTGGGCACCACCTACTGTGTCACCAAGAGGAATGAGGAGTCACAGCAGCTTCCACCCCCACCCCGGCTTGGCCCAAGGTCTGTGGGCCACAGGAGCAGGCGTGTGTGCATAGGGGAACAGTCCTGTAGAACTGGACACACGCCCCAGGAGGAAGCGGACCCTGAGCCTGGGTGCACAGGCAGTCCGTGAAGGTGCCCCTGTGCAGGGCCACCACGTGGTTCCCGGCCAACGCAGGAGTGACTGCTAGGAAGGCCCTCTGGCATCCTCAGCCAACAAGACCCCTAAATGGCAGATTTGGGGATTCAGCCAGGCCCTGGGCAGCTCCAAGGTACAGAGTAAACTTTCTGAACCCCAAGAAAGGCACGGAGTTTGGGATTGTGGAGTGTGGGGGCACTGGAGTGTGTGGGGGGGTGGGGGCTGGGCTGAGCATGGGCTGGCACGGAGTGTGGCGGAGTCTGAGGCCGCCATAGCGCCCCTCCACATGCAGCCCCGCAGTGCATAGGTGCCTGGGCCGGGGTGGGCGCACGAGGCTCAGTTGCGCTCCTCGCCCAGCGAGCTGGCAGGGCTCAGGGGCTCGCTGGGAGTGCTGAGCGCACTGCTGTCCGCCGAGTTGCTGCGCTTGCTGCCACCACTGGACGATGTGCAGGAGGCCCGGCGCGGCCACTCCGGGGCGCGGATGTTGCGACGGTCTTTGGCAGCCTCTTCATCCTCATCATAGCGCTCCCCGTCTTCCCCAGGGAGCCCGTCCCGGGGCTCCTCCTCATCCTCGCTCTGGTGTGGGCTTGAATGGCGGGACAGGGAGGGAGACGGAGGCACCGAGGCCGGCCGTGGGTAGCGGTAGCCCTGGGTCTGTGCAGGAACCAAGGAATGAGCTGGGGCCCCGCAGCCATCAGCCCAGCTCTGCCCGCCCCACCAGACAGGCCAACCGCACTGACCGCATCCGCCTCGTGGGGCTCATAGGTGAAGTGGTCTGGAAAGGCCTTGGCCAGGGCCATGTGGCGAGCAGACATGTAGTACTTGAGAAAAGAAGATGTAGGGGGCGTCAGGGGCGTAGCAGCCAGAGCCCGCCTCCTGGCAGGTGGCAAACCCTAAGCATACTTGTGAGCATACATGAAGCCCACTGTGCCTGCCAGCTGCTCTCACGGCTCAGCAGGGAAGCATCACTTGCAACAGCTGCACGCATCCCCAGTGGGCACCAGTTCCAACCCCAACTCCCTGCCTATGCTCCTGGGAAAGCTGCAGAAGATGGTCCAAGTGCTTGGGGCCCTGCGCCCACCTGGGAGACCTGGATGGAGGTCCAGGCTCCTGGCTTTTTAGATTGGCGCAGTCCTGTCCATTGTGGCCATTTGGGGAGTGAACCAGCAGATGAAAATCTCTATTCCTGCCTTTTAAATAAGTCTTTAAAAAGCTACATCGTACTAACCAACCCCTCGCTAGGTACAATATCCATCTTTCTGGCCCTGCCCGTTACGTAGAAAAATAAAGCTGTGATAGGGCACTGCGATTCACATCCTCTGTGGCAGTGAAAACTCGATGCCCGTTATCTTCCCAGGACGGCTGACTGGGCGCGGAGGCTGGCCAGGGGCCGGGGCTCTAAAGTGGGTCTTTCTGAACCAGCAGCAAATTCCCTCAAGGCAGGGGCATGCTTCATTTCCCCAAGGGACAGGAATGGGTACACATCGGAGACCCCGTTCCGCATGGAGAACCCCGAGACCCAGGGCGAGGGGACAGCAAGCGGTCGTTACCCGGCCTAAGTACTTCCAGTCCAGCAGGTCGGAGAGGCGCTCAGTGCGGTTGCGCTGAATGATGCGCTGCCGCCGGCTCTGCTGGCAGAAGCTGTAGAGGAAGGAAGTGAGCTGCGAGCAAGAGTCATCCAGGCTGCGGAACCGCCGGTCCAGGATGTAGATGCCTGCGGACGCCACATCGGGGTTCAGGGGTAGGCCCCGGGAGGAGCCGGTCTCCCCCTCCCAGAGAAACACCAACACCCCCTGCCCCCACTCATGCTGGCCTTCTCTTCCTCAACGCCCCCCGCATCCCCGTGCTCAGGAGCCCAGGTGTGCTGACCGTAGGCCGAAGGGTCTGCGATGTGCTCCTCCATGAAGCAGCCGAAGCCGGAGAGGTTGGTGGAGATGCTGGGGATCCCCATCACGGTGCACTCCGCTGCGCACACAGCACAGGTGGGAGACTCACCCAGGGCCCCACCCAGCCAGCTCCCCAAGACAGCAGTGCGGGCCGGCGGAGTTAGAGGTCGCTGGGGACAGCTCAGGAAGCGGCCTTGTCCCTCTCTGTTGCGCTTAGGAATCCTGAACTTGGCTGCTGTTATTTAGGGGGGCTGGGGCAGATGGGCGTGGCCTGTGCCAGCCTGCCCAGGCTGACATCAGCGCCCACGCTGTGTTAGGAAGGCACGACGGACTGCGACCACTGGTCTGGTCCTCAATCAGGAGAAAACAGCGAACAGAGGACTGGGGGACTCAGAGAAGACCACTGTCCCTCCCGGATGTGACCACACCCCCAGCTTGGCGCTCACCTGGTGTGTACCCCCAAGGCTCATAGTAGGAAGGGAAGACCCCAAGGTGACAGCCACGGACAAACTCCTCGTAGTCCACGGGGAGCAGCGGGCTTGTGGAGGAGAGGAACTCCGGGTGGAAAATCACCTGGCCGTGAAAAAGGCCGGCTTAATCCGAGCACCTGAAGTGGCTGCTTTCCCAAGGCTCACGGGGGCCAGGGCAGGGGGAGGGAGGGTGAGCCTGCCATGGCTGCCCTGGGGAGGGCAGTGGGGGGCCGGGATCTGTGCCCAGCTCCCCTGGTCCACTCTCTCACCTTGACCCGGTCAGCACTGCTGTTGAAGAGGCCGATGCGGCGGATGGTCGTGAGAATGGGGTCTGAGGAGTCGTCCAGCATGTTGTGGGTGCACACCGGGGGGAAGGACTGCCGCTGTGGGGCGGGGCACAGTGAGGGATGGGGTCACAAGAGGGACACAGGCCAAGCATGGAAAGAATGACTTCCCAGCAGCCTCTGGGGCAAGGAACCAATCCTTGTGATGGAAAGCGCTCCCCCCGCCCCCAGAATCAGCTGGGAGCTGTAATTTCCTTTCATGAGTCGGCGTTCACCTAATTCCATCCAGCGGGGAACTGAAACAAACTGCCGTCCTCGGGAGGCTGTGGGGATGAGACACAGCCAGGGGAGCAGGTGTTGGGGGCAACACAATGGCTCAACAGGTTCATAAGCTTCCACTCTCTGGCATCCTGTATGGGTACCAGATCATGTCCCAGCTGCTCCACTTCCCATCCAGCTCCCTGCTTGTGGCCTGGGAAAGCAGTCGAGGACGGCCCAAAGCCTTGGGACCCTGCACCCGCGTGGGAGACCCGGAGGAAGCTCCTGGCATTCAGATCAACTCAGCTCTGGCTCTTGCAACCATTTGGGCAGTAAACCAACCAAAGGAAGCTTTCTTTCAGTTTCTCCTTCTCTTTGTAAATCTTCCTTTCTAATAAAGATAAATAAATCTCAAAAACAGAAGTAGGTACTGCTGCAAGCAAACTACAACGCTGAGCAGTCTGGGTATGGGTGGAGCCAGAACACGAGGGTGGGGCAAAGAGAACAGGAAGTTGTCATTCTCCATTTATGGCTGCCTTGATCTTTTTAATTTCCGTTTTAACCTCTTGTCGATTGATGCAGGGACCCAGTGAAACCGCAACTCCCAGCAGCCCCGGTGGTAGAAGCCACAGCAAAAGCCCTTATCTCATCTCCTCCCGCGGTCCTCTGAACTGACCCCTCAAGAAAAGACCACCCAAGCCAGCAGTGTCCAGGGCAGGAGGGCGCTTGGCTAGCTGCTGTGGGGGTTGCTGGTTAAGTGCCAACTCACAGCCCATACCTGTGTGGCAAAGATGGCCCTCTTCATCATGGTGAAGTCTTCCTTGTCCAGCATCTTGTTCATGTCGGGAAGGCTGCCCCTGTAAGGGAGCAGGAGTGTGCCTCTGGGAAGGGGCAACGGATGAGGGGCGGCGGCAGGAGGAGCGAGGGCCTGGAAGGGCAGAGGGCTGCGGGCCAGACACTCACACCAGCAAGGATTCATAGAGCTTCCTTCCAAACTTCTCCTTCACGGTGTTGGCCGTGTCCCTGGAAGGCACAGAGCAACGTCACACACGCACCGGCTGCCATTTGGTCGTTTCCAAGGTAGCAGGGAAGCTGAGGCCTGACCGAGGACCCTCCCAGGCTGGGGAGATGGGGAACCCGGCAGGGGAAGGGGGAGAGAGCTGGGCCTGACAGAGGAGCACTGGATCCCCCAGGCTGAACAGATGGGGAGCCCGGCGGGGTGGGAGTCCAGCACCCGGAGGGGCTTGGGGCCTCGGTGCTGCGTGGCCACTTTTCATCTCTGACTTCAGTGATCACAGCCTCGACCTCCGAAGTCGAGCTGGGGAGGTCAAGGCGTGTGCAGGACTGGCTCTCCGGGAGCCTTCCAGAAATGTCAGCTATTATTAGGACATGTCACCCGCCCTGGGCATGGGGCTGCTAAGCCCCTTTTATGAAAACAAGACAAGAAGATTCCGAGAAGGGAACAACAAACAACCACACAGGAAGAATGTCCCTCCACTGGGCACCGTCCTCAACTTTCCTTGAGGGCCGGTGCACCTGTTACCTCCTATCCCCTTGCCTTTCTTTCTCCACTCAGAGCTGCTTCCTCAGCGCCCTCGAGCCTGACAACTGTGTCTCCTATCCCGGCTCTGCTGTTTTTGTTTGTTTTGCTGGAATTCCCTCTTTAGAACTTTCCAGAAGGTGAGCAGGGTTTCATCTGCTCCCTAACTGTGTTCGCAGGAGCCGGGCACACAGCAAATGCTCATTGACTCTCCAGAGCAGCCAAGGAAGGGAGCAATGCATGAGTTTTACAGAGCACGAGGGTGTGACTAGGAGAGGGGTGGAGGAAAAGACACAAAGCCAGCAGGGTCACTGATTCTTGCAAGATGCCTGGTCGTGCTGCCACGCTTGCCCCTCTGCAGGGACTTCGGTGGGGATGCGCGAGAAGGCAGATAGCGTTAGATGACAAAACCGAGACACTCAAGTGACTAGCAGACCGCCTGGGGGACAGGGAGGGTGTGGGCCCCAGGGTCCAAGGGCTGCTGACCAAAGCTGCTTGCGCACGGCCTGGCCCTTCAGCGTCTCCACGTTGAAGTTGTTAGTCCGGGCCGGCATGATGAAGAAAGCCACCACGGTCTGTTCACTGCCGTTCACCTGGGCGGGCGACAGAGCGAGGCGGGAGGGTCAGGAGCGTCCGTGGGGTCGAGGGAAGGCCACCCCACCCAGCGCCGGCCCTCAAGGCCAAGGTCCTGAGGGCCCTGCCATGCCCCTTCCTGCCAAGGAAAGCGATAGTACCATGTTACTGGCCCCTGCCACGTGGGTCTCTGCTTCTCTTTCTGGGGGTCCCAAGCCACCCGCCCCTCCTCCTGGGTCTCATTCTTCCCAGTTAGCCAGGGCTTCCCCGATGCCACGCGGCACAGGGCCTCACGCGGAGCAGATAGTTGAGCCGGGCCAGGGCCTCCAGGAAGATGTCGGCACCCTTATTGGAGAACTCGTAGCGGCCGGCAATGAAGAAGTACAAGGTCTTGTCCAAGTTGAAGTCCAGGTGACTGTAAAAATGACGACAGGGCAGGGTGAAGCCCGGGACCCTCCACTTCCACCCTGGGCTTGAGGTGGCACATCCCAGGAGCTCCAGGGCAGGGGGTAGGGCGTGGGGGGCAAAGGAGGTCTTGGAGGACGCAAGGGCTGCTCGGGCCTCCGGGAGTTCTGTATGTACAGAAGGGGATTCACTTTAACACTGGGTCCCTCATTCCAGACTCGGGAGGCTGAGTCCTGTCGGCCCCGGCCCCCTCTCTGATGTCCCTGATGTCGGGCTCACGTACCCATAGAAATGACCACGCACAAACTCCTGGATCCGAGCCTTGCTCTGGGCGTGAAGGTTCTGGAACTCGTGCATGGCCGAGAACTTCTTCACATTCAGCCCATTGGGGGTTACAATATCTGGGGGTTGGAGGAGAAGGGCCCACACTCTGCGTCTTCAGCAGCCCCCACTCCCAGGCAACGTTTATCTCAGCAGCTCTCCCACATCCCCTTGGCATCCAGGGACCCTGTCACACAGTCGCCTTCCAGTTCATCGTCGCTTGTCACGCGGAGGGCACCACGATGGTTCGCCTTAGCTCTCTTTTCTCAAAATTAAAAACCCCTACCTTTCCATTCCCTTCGAGAACTCCACTACCTATATTAGGCAAGCATCAAATGTCAGCCATGAATGATACTAAGATCAAGAAAACTACATGTGCCATTGGCCTCCTCTGGGGTTATACAGAACCAAGTTCACATACAGGTCACATTCAAACGCTAGGGTTTCTGGGAGTTGTAGTTTTTTTTTAGTTGACATCCCACCCCTAGGGCTTCTGGGAGTTCTCGACAATTGGCCTTGGCCTAGAGAGCTTCCTGCCTCGAAGGTGATGCAGTTCCCTACCTGGCTTCCTCTTCAGGAGGTGCTGGGCCTCGATGGCGGTGATCTGGGACACAGTTGTAAAGACATGTGCGCAGTGGGCCGCGGCCCGCTCCATGCAGTAACGGTGATATATCTGTCTCTCACCGGCTTCCTTGTCCACGTTAAACTAGGACGACAAGAGACAATCTGGTCGGGGACACAGCAGAGAAAACTGGACGACCTGGGGCGGGCTGTGGCCGGCAGCTGGGCACCTCATGCCAAGGAGTCAGGGGCCGCAGAGCGAGCGAGTTGTCCCTCACACAGCCCGTCCCCGCTGCTCACATTCTCCAGGTTGTTGTAGAAGTCCACGGCGCCGGCACACAGGTAACGCCCCAGCAGGGTGGCATGAGTGGTGAAGATGGTGGCTACAGGCAAGCGCCGGGCACGGCACAGGCACAGCCCAATGCCTGCCAACCACTCGTGGAAGTGTGCCACTATGTGTGGCTTCTCTTCATTCTGGGCCAGGAACTGTGCAGATGGGAGAGAGGGGGACAGGGCTGGCGTGTGTCCACGCGGGTCACGGAGAGAAGTGGCCGAGGGGTCAAGGCAGGCAACAGGACGAGGGGTCCACAGGATGAAAGGCAGAAACACCCCAGGAGTGCTTGACCCAGCCAGCTGACCTCACCCCGGGGCCTGAGAGGAGCGGATGGTTGGGCTGACGGAAGGACCGAAGGTTTTGGGTTCCCACCTTGCTGCATGTCTATCCCTACTTTTAATGAAAACCAGATCTTCATAGGGACAATTCCCAGAATGCTCTAGCAGCAACCAATCCTCAAAGTTTTTGTCCCAGGGCATGGGAAGCGAGATTTCTTGAGTCTTAGGGGACCAGAATCAAGATGATCAGTTCTCAGATAAGCTGGGAATCCGCAACTACCCTGGGCTCAATCTGAACTGAAGCCTAGCACAGGTCAGATTAGAGAACTACAATGCCCAGAATTCCTGGCGGCGGGGGGGGGCAGGACATGACCTGCCTTAGACATAGAAGATTAGGGTAAAGGACATTGGGGTTGGGAATAGAATCTCAGGAAAAAGCTGCTGAGTCAGGGGCACCCCCGGATGCCCTGAAGCCTCCAGAATACGCTAGGAGGAGCTCGGCCTCAGCCCCGGGGACTGATGGTCACTGTAGTTTCAGGCATGGGTGGGCCACCCTGAGGTGGGCATAACAGAGGGGCCTACCTCCCCCAGGAACCATGTGGTGAGGAAGCCGAAGAGGACGGCGTCGTTGGCCTCGCGGTCGTACCAGGGCACCCCGATGTTGCAGATGTCCCACAGCTCCCCCTTCCAGCGCTCCAGAGCCCAGGCGGAGGCCCCCACGTCTAGGAGCACCACCAGAGGGCCCCCCTCGATCAGCCAGCGCCCAAAATACACCTGGGGGGGGAGGATGAGTGGGGGAGGGAGGCTCAGGGCTTCTGGCAGCTTCCGCCTGCCTTCTCCCACCCTCTGGGACCCCTCAGCAGCCACCTTATTTCTATGTGTTGTCAGCTGGCCCCTCACGTCGGGGGCAACATCCTCCTCAATGCTTGCCCAGCTTCTGCCCGGTACCCCCATCACCTCGCTTTTTTTCTCCACTCACTACCACGTTTATCTTGCGAATCGCCCAGGTGCTGTCTCCCACTTGGAGCTTCCAGAACTTGTGTGGTCACCTCAAGCCCCCTGGCCCCATCCCGGCCCCTGCCACCCTACATTTGACACTTGTCACTGTGGCCACTTTCCTCAGGCCACACACCTTTTTCTTTTTTCTTTAAGAAAATTGTAAGTACATAAGCAAAATAATTTTTTTAATTAAAAAAAAAAGACAATAAGTAA